AGGTCTAACCAGTTCAAACTTCATGCAAATAGTTGACAGAGTCAAAAGCATAAGCTATGAACTGATGCATACCTACTTCTAGATATCTGAATTGTAGCCTGTAGCCAGGAATGTTTTTATGTTAGAAGGCGACGGTTCTGCCGGTCTCTTGTCCGAAATGCCGGTGTCTTATTCATGTTTCTCTCTAAAGGATGATTATCTGATATTTTATGGTTGATTGCCATTAGTTTACTTACTGGAATAATGACACCAGGAGACGAGAAACTAGTGCTGAGACAACGGGTATAATCTGGGTAAGTTGGGGAAGAAACTCGGTGAGCGGACTACCCTATAATACGTCGGTCAGGTAGGATATTATCTAGCTCAAGCAGGAGAATAGGTCCTTGCTCAGATGCCTCAAGGGACCCCTGAAACATAAAAATGGAAGAAAGAGGTTAGTTCAAGAAAATTTCATCACATCCTAAAGAGTGCCTCAATGCCCACACAAAAGCAAAAATAAATGCTTGGTACAAAAAACAGTTTGGCCTACTCTCTGTGTGGCCTTAGTATAGTGTGCATAGCTAGTGCATGTGCGACGTCGCATTCTAACGAAGAAGCCAGGTACATGCACGAATTATTATGGGGAAGCGGCCATGTTTTAAGCAGTTCTACACTTCATGGACAGGCAGCTGGATGCACTCTCTGCCGTTCTCTTTTCGATACTGTTTAAAACTTACATGCAACCCTAAGTGGACGCCCATAACATCATCCCTCCATCCTTCCGCAAGAAAACTATGGTCTCTTAGATATGGTGCTAAGACAAACTTCAAACAGGTCTACTGGTCTTCACCATTAAACCTACAGAAAGTCTTTGCAGGAGCCGTGTCTGTCTGTACTTAGGAGTTACAAGCTACATGACGTCAGCAGATCAAGAGCAGATAGAACTGTCTGCAGGTGATGGTACAACCACTAAGTCATCAAAATCATCCTTATCGCAGTGCCATCATGGATTATTCACCAGTGGGTCCAAACTTGGATTTTCCTCCGTTCACTTTAGTTTGAGGTTTTATGCATTTAGATTACACTACTAGCACCTTTAGCCGCTGTGATTTCATTCGAAACTATAAAAAGTGACTTGATTATTATTCAGTGAAACTCACGTTGCCTCCGATTAAATGTCAACCACATTAAATCCAGACGCAACATAAACACCATCTGCTGGTGAAAACGGCTTGTAGGCAAACCAGGAACGTGCTTCACTTGATGCTGCTATCGCTGGCACAATAACAGTCCTTCTACTCTCACTCTAATTCAGCAATCAGCCTACTTGTCTGTTTAATTATTACTTACTTTTACGTGAGATTGTTGTGCTATGAGCAAACACAAAAATGAGTTCGGGATATCTAATAAATATATAGATCCACGAAGGTTAAAGTTTTATCAATCCAACAAGTGTAATGACGCGTCGAGATCAAAAAGTCGTCGTCGAGGTCAGCAAGTTGTCGTCGGGGTCAGCAAGTTATCGTCGGGGTCAGCAAGATCACGTCGGGCTCACCAATTGTTGTGCTGCTATATTTTGACTAAACTAGAGTACACGTATATTCTAGTACTTCATCGCGTTTATAATTGTGTGCTAACGTTGTGATTACTCGACATCCACAACGTAATTCAAAAGGCACTTGCGAAGGAATACGGTAGTGTATTATTGCAGCAATCAAAATTCAAAAATCGAGCGAGTACAAAAGGTATCAATTGTTAACATGCAAGATTAAGAGTAATAAACAAATCAAAGTACAATTACACAATGAAAGTATACTGCGATGATGAGTAATAAAACGGGTCACTACAAGATCACTTATTTTGCCCTAAAATGACTAATATAGTATAACTTACCAGAGAATGGACTAAATTTGGCGCCAGTAGTTTCACCGTCTTAACGTAGTCAGCGAAATTCTACACAAATTTAGATATTCAGAGTGACATCGAATTTCGAGAACTGTACTCACATTGTCAACAAATGAAATCACGTAACTACAGTAAACGAAGTAGGTATTTCAGTTGGACATAAGGAAAAAGAATTTTACCAATAAATTTACTGTTGGGATTTGAAAATTGCATCTGGATTAATATCCAAAACGCTTGAGATAGAATAGGTGTTATTGTTATTGAACAGTCATGAATCTGAATCTGAAAACAGTATAAGTTAGTAGAAGCGGGGAATCTTTTGCGGTACGTTACATATGTTGGTTTGCCGTAAACCCTTACATATTCAAACTTTGTTCCATTTGTTGTTACGCTTTGTTATACTTTAGTATGTTTTGGCGAGGTATCATTTTGTCGAATATAGTTTTGATCGTGTTTAAACTGAAACGAACCCGTTTAACAAAGGTTCTTCAGGTGTTGAATCTTTCAAACGCTTCTATTCATTGTTACAATAATCTGCCTGCATAGAACAGTGGAATTATTATGGTTGTTGGCTAAACATGCCCGAGTTTCCTAAAATCGGGCTATATTATTCTTGAAATGGCTCCAACGCTTTGAGTTCAGATTCACTTATTTTTGGGTCTATGTTTCCCTGTCTTGCTCAAGCACTATCTGAATTATTCAGTTATATATTTTAATACTCCTTCTTCCAAAAAGCCTTGACGAATGGATATAATTGAGTTCAATACTAATGTTCAACCTAAGTTACCGAGTTGTACTAACCTTGTATGCATGAATACGAAATAAGTCGAGTCCATATTTTTATCACTAAAATCCCATTAGTTTGACTAAAAAAAGAAATCAAATCCCCAGAGTCATTTTTCTAGTATAACTGTTGTGCCGGGAACCACTGTCGGTGGCACAGTGGTTAGGACTCTCGCCGACCACGCACATGGTCCGGGGTTCGATCCCCTGCCGACGCACACCCGATATCTATGATCGGCCTGCGAAATTTGGGCTACCGATATCCATGCTGAAAATTCCATACTTGTACTGAAAATACGGTGTTGCATCAAGCTGTAATCAAATCAAATCAAACTTTCAAAACCTATAAAGTGTATTCGAATCCTTCTTTGGCCAATGCTCACTGCTTCTATGTAATACTATAGCCCTATCAGGGGTATGACTGGCAACTATAAAGAGTAGATACCCCTACTCAAGGTTCAACTACAAAGCCAATCAAATCGTTAACCTTCTAAAATTGTTTTGTGTGCGAACGGGTTTGATATGTCAAATAATATCTGTGAGAAAGTAAAGCATGTTTTCACCGTAAGTATAGAGTCAGTTTCTCATGGGCGCTTCTATGCGACATATGGGATCAGTCTGCATTTATAAATCCATTGTGAACAATTGACGATCTAATTCACTTCCTTAAGGTCATTTGCTGGGGCTTGGATGTGGTATCCATTCTTTATGGTTGCCAATATATTTAAACTAGTTTTTCCGAACCCGCTGATATTAAAGTCTTACTTACTACGCAATGGAAAGTTTCCTTAACCTAAAATTTGCAGCTAAAAGTGTTTTCTAAGTTGTGGCGTACTATAACTGTTAGGCTAATGTATATCTAGACTGAGGGAAGTGGTGTTTCGGTGATACAATGTAAACTGTGATCTGCCTGCCAGATTTGTTTGGTTATATAAAAAACTCAATGGCCAGCAGTCAGTCCTTACTGGTAATATTATCGAGGCCCCTTTGCAAAATTTGCATAATATTTCTTTCATTCAGGTCTTCATGCGAAATTTTGGTGAGCGTAGCTAGTCGACAATAATGAACCAAGTACTGAGCCCATCGCTTTGTAATGTCGTCCAGTGTTAAGCCTATCACTGAACAATTCGGACCTTTTAAATAGACAGCTAGCTATACCGAAGCTCGAATTTTAAGTACATCCTGGAATCATCTGCTATCAAGATCCTTGAAGGAGGTATTTAGGCTCTTTGTTACCTTTCTACTTAACTGAAGTTTTCTTATTTGTGGTTTGTCAAGACAAATCATGCTACGCTGGAATGGCTTTTCGTATATTGTCATCGGGATTTTAACTGCAGTACTAGCAACAATCTGCTTGTAATTTATAGGGTATCGTCTATCCATCCATTTCCGCAATCTTAACTTTCAAGCTGTAGTAATGCTTTTTTAAGAAATAGTGCAGGGATAGAAATAGGAGAATCAAGTATGTGAAGCTCTTCGATAGGCCTCAGATGTTTGTTATCTGATCTCATTAATTTTGAAAGTTCAAAAAGATGGTTGGATTCGCCAATTGCTTCTTATACTTCCTAGGTGGTTTAGTCTAAATGAGCGTAGCTCCGCTCGCTACCTACACCGGGCCTCATTGGTTTAGCCATCTGATTTTCGAATGTTGAGCTACGAATTCGAATTTAACTCTAACTATTATAGTTTTGTCAACCATGTGGTATTATTTGCCTTCATATCATTGGTGTAGCTTGTTGTCAAGCGCAGTAATATGCATGTCAAGTGGCTTTTCATCTTTTCTAGGCAAACTGACAAGATTCCATTTCCTCTAAACCCTCCAAGTGATAATCTTAGAAATCCCGGTTTATGTTTTTCACTTCAAATTGAGTTTGATCACATCTAGTTACGGAGAGTAAAGTGGCTAAAGATGCCAGGAGTTTCGCTCGTCTAGTGGGTTGGATACGTCTAGATGCTTCATCTAAGGTATATCCGATTACCTGTTAAAGACTTTGTACGCTGCTATCTAATATGTAGATGTGATAAATCACCAGTCACCTATTATATGTAATTGTTAGTCCTGAAAGAATCTGAATGTACTGTTGACTGTAATATAGTGGAACCTGAAATATACTTGCAGATTTGTCGTTTAATTCATGTTTAAAAGGGTAAGTGAATGAAGCACAAAAGGAATTAGATTGTGCCGCCTTACTACTGAATTCAATATTACGTGCTCAATATGTAAGATGAAGAAAGACCAGATTAATTACCAAGAAACAGTATATTTTAATGAGTTTGAATTATACTGTATATATCAAGTACTTGATCAAATATTTAGCACTTAATTGATACCTTTTTGTTTTTTAGATGTACTTCAGAGATTATCTTGATTTCTGATTCCTTCGAAAATAGACAATGTACAATCTTATGAAGTCTTTAGTTCATTGTATACCATGCATATGATTATCCTATGGTTTGGCTCACTTGTTTTGTCTGTTTCACAACCCAGCTTAACTTCTTTGGATTTGCAGTTTAGTCATGCAGACAGGAAGCTGCTGCGATGATAGTACAGGCAGTCTAGGTGGAGATAGTGAAACAAATACTACTGTCGCTAGTAGTCCTGGCTTTGATCTTCCTGTGTCTAAGGGCTCACCATTGTTACCAGAACCTCCTGAAGATATTATTTTGTCTCAACGTGCAATATACGATAATTTAAGCTCAACGTCTGGAAAAGAAATAAGCAAAATGGTGAGTTTTAAAAATTTATGTGCATTTTGATAATAGTAAGCTAATTTCTTAGTTAATGATTCTTAACTGACATTTAGTAATTAGTGAAAAACCGTTTAGATTAGAAAGTGTATTTCCTGAATTAAAATATGATTGCGTCTTTTCATTTAGTAAGTCGCATATATACATTTTATTTCGTCACTTACATCTATCTTGAAGATAAAAATTACAATTCTAATCAGTTTTTCAAGTCATTTCATAATGATTAGAGTTTTCGTATTTTGGATGAAGTACTGTCGACCTATGCACTAGTTGGACTGGAAGTTGAATATTACAATGATTATTCGCATATATTATTGTGTTATACTAAACACTTGAATTTCAATTGTTTGCATTTACTTGTCTTCAGGAAAATCCTATCAGTTCCAGTTTGTCGAACACTACTACTAACATCATGATTTGTGAATCTTCAACACCTAAATCTGTCAAAGCAGCTAATTTCATCCCTCCTAATCCATTTACTAATCCCCCATCCTTTGAGCCACCGAGTCTGCCTTATTCTTATTCTGAAAATATTGCATCTGGTTTACCTGCCTACTCCCCACAGTTCACTCCAACCACTTGTACACCATCTACATTTCCTTCGCCTGGATCTGCCTTTACAGAACTTCATCCAAAAATTGGATCATCTGGTAAAACTAGTTGTTTTGTTCAGCCTACAGCAATAACGTCGTCAATGTCGCCTAAATCACTGAACAAAGAAAGTATTCAGTCAAATTACCCAACTAGCAGTGCTCGAAATGAATTGTCGGAATGTATTCCTAAAAATACAGTTGCTGTGAAACATTTATGTCGTATCTGCGGTCAGTCACATGACCCAACCTCACCTCACATATATAATTATACACAAACTGTGGATGCTGATTTATGCTGTACAGTGAGTTCCAATTTTGTTCCTACACTTTTATGTCACTCTTGCGGTCGTATCTTTTTCCATTTTTTAATCAAGTATTCATAAATATTAGCAAGTGACTTCAGTATTTTAGTAAATAACTTTTTATCGTTTAGTGATGGCCACACTGTCACACTGGGGTGTAATCACATTCATTCAATGAGTCCTGTATAGGACAAAACCTGTCTCGGATTCCATTGATGGTTGCCAAAAATCAAGTCACATTCCCAAGTAATATTCTCAGTTTTCTTTGAGCTAATGATTTTCTATTCTGTTGTCAAAATTCTAAATTATGTATTTGTAGTAATTCATGAAGTCTGTTGAAGAAAATGGGCCTTATTGTTATTTTGTAACTGTCGATTCTAGGCGTTTAAGACGTTGAGTGTAGTGCGAATGTTACTTCACTAAACTTTCCTTTGTGGTAAGTGCAAATAAATTGCTTAAAGAGTGGCGTAGTTGTTTTAAAGGTAATTGAGACGGTAAAAGAATTTTTGAGATTCCTTTCTTTTTAAACAAAGTTTCCTATAGATAAGGTTTTCGGGGTTTAATGTAATTTTATTGGTGAATGGTACTGTTAATTTCAAGTGTTCGCTTGCTGTATTGATTAGGATATGAGAATAATGGAAATGGTCTGAAGATGGCTTTATTGTAGCTCTTATTTCTCTTTTGAGATGTGGCTCATTGGCTTAAACACTCAACTTCCAATCAATGGGTCCCGGGTTCGAGTCCCATTCCACTTGATTCAGTCTGGGCAAGTGAGTAGTATAGTTAGACTCCACACAGTAAGTGTGACTTATAGCCCAGTACTGGGTAACTGTGATCTAACTAAATTCCAACTCCCTGATAATTGATACTGTGACCACTAAGATTTGTCGACCAGACAAACTGATTCGATTGTTAGGCATAAAAGAAATTCATTGTTCTCCACCCTCCAATTGATTTATACACGGTGTGTTCCTTCTATTTTCATGATTACTTACAACTCATTAGTTATACCAATTACTATTTGGCGATTTGGTGAGCGCAAATAATTCCAACCTACGTTTGCAAAGTTCATAACATCAGCACTGAGTGACACAGACTCGAAAGTTTGCAGTCAAATGAATTTTCTGTGATTCTAACTCTCTGGTAACTGAGTGATTGTTATGCCAAAATTTCTAACTACTTAACTTCGAATTTGGTAAGTGGTCAGATCGTAGTAGGCCTCGGTTACCTAGTGTTAGTATACAGTCGTGTGTTTTTGATCTAACTTTTCCCATTTATTCTTCTGTCCGTTTTCACTTGCGATTCGTGCTTACTTTTAAGTTTGTTTAAAATCCATCTGTAAAGTATTCATCTATAACTCGTTGATTTTAACTCATCATGTACGTGTTTCTTCGTATTTTAGTTATGCTGTCAACCTTTGATTGATCCCCTTGATACTAAATGTGGTCATACGTTCTGTTCACCGTGTCTAAAGAATCATTTAGCTGTTCAAGCTCTTTGTCCTGTGGATAGACAAATTATCAATTACTTAGAATGTCAACAAGCCTCGAATATCGTTAAACGGTTAGTTAGTAATGGTATTTACTACTGTTGTTTATAAAAGATTTCTATTTTGTTTGGACATAATATTATCTGATTTAAGTTATTATAATTTTTTTTTTTTTGCCAATGCCTATTGGAATCCAATGACACAGGTTTTTCAACTGCCAATTCTTGAGTAGCAGTAATAATAATAATTTTGGTAGTGGTGTTTACATGTTTGCTTAGACTTTCCAGAGCAGAGAATAACTTGAACTGTTTATTAAAATAAAACAGTTTTTAGTGTTGGTGTCATTAGTCACTGCATAAAACTTGCCTCCTATCAAATGTAAGATGGTGATGCAAGATTGGTCTGCACCGACTCCTAGTTTAAAGATTGGCAGTGAAGTGGTTCAGCATTTTGATCAATTCACTTATTTGGGAAGTTGCATCAGCCCTAGGGGACTGATTGCTAACAAAGTCTCAGCACGGATACAAAAGGCTGGTATGGCAGCTGTCAACTTACGTTATCGCTGGCGTAGACGTGATATTCGGCTATCGAAAGAATTAAGAAAACAATATGCAGCGAAGAGACTCTTTTCAACGAATTTATTATCAAGCTGTACAATCGTATATATATATATTGTTTAAAAAAAGTATCCGATGAGGGAATTGAATCAAAAGTGTGAGTATATAGAATAATAATAGTATGAAATTCAATTAAAAGGTTTGTGATTCTAATCATAGTTAAATGTGAAGTGACAAAACAATTAATGTCATATTTGGAATAATTCACAAGATTCAGTTCCCTCAACGGATATCATTTAAGAAAAACCCATATATGTTTATATGACTGTACAGCTTGATAATAAATTCGTTGAAAAGAGTCTCTTTTCTGAATATTGTGTTCTTAATATCTAAGGAATAACGTGTGTAAAGCGTAACAGTCCGCTATGCCCTTCTCTATAGCTATGCGACGTTACATTTGAGAGTAGAAAATATGTAGAGACTGACTGTCTTTCATCACAGATGTCTACTTTCTATCTGCCGTGTTTAGTTGTATAATACTGTGAGTAATATTGAGGTTAAGCTTAGGGTGCTAGGTAAGGAGGAGAAGTCAATCGGCAAGGTTTTTAAGTTACAGCGAGGATACGTGTCAAGACGCCCCTTTCCTTGACGATCAATATTAGCTGATATAGAGTTGGGTTGGAAAAGGGTTAGTGGTGGTCAAACCAAAACCTGGAATCAGTCCATGAAGTCTTTGACAGTTAGTTTGATCCGTATAGGGAAGGATACACTGTTTGATTGGTGTCTCGGGTACTAAGATCCAATGTCTTTTCACCGTTAATGATGTGACTCAAAATCGTCCTCATATGTGAAGATGTATTCACTCTTTATAGTCTCCTAGATACATTAGGTCTTCACGCTTTTTCATGTTACTGTTCTTTCTTCAGTATATTTATGCACATTATAGTTCTTTTGAGGTTTTTTCCTTTCCGTCTCTTAGTGTGCTACATAGAGTGTGGCAATTTGAACTGTTGCACTTGTGTACAAATTTCTATGTTTAAAATCAGTCAGTCAGACGGACAGCTCACTTCTCTCCCGCCAAAACAGTACTTGTCATACAATCATATTCCATAAAAATATAAACTTTATTCTGCAAACAGTTCGTTAATAAGAAAGCTTACGTGTTTAAGGGTTGAATTAAGGAACAATATTGAGGAATATTTAAAACATGTAGTTAGTTTAAATATCTTGCTACGAATTTACAACCGTTTAAAAAAGACTCTTATTCCTTTTGATTAGAATTCTTCTTTATGTCAGCTTCATTCGAAATAGAGTTGTCATGATATAAACAACATCAGTATGATATTCAAATTTCTTAACTCCAAATAGTTTAAAATAATTGACAGGGAGACTGTGTAAGATGGCCTTAGGTGGTCGACAACGTAATATTTATGTAATGTATAATAATTAGAGGTGAAGTGGAACTCTCTGTTACGAGTGGGATTCGAACCGGTGACCTCCGGATCATTCATTCATGCGTTTACTCATATAACAGTTGAGCGTTACCTGGTGATGATTACATTGGAATAATAATCTGGTTAGCAATTGTGCCTCGTATCTCATCTGGTTGAGCTACGAACCAGTTGTTCGGGGTCTGCCTGTTTGAATCCTTCTGTAACTTATACTTAAGAGATTGTTTCGGTTATGAGTTTGTTTTGACAGTATTTAAATGATGAGAGTAAATTCTGCTCAGGTTATTATATACTTCAATAATGATGAGATGGATCAAATTACCCATGGACATATGTAAATAGAACATGTTTTTCTTTTTCTTCTGCTTCTTCAATCCTTGCGTTCTGAATGGAGCATGGAGCTTTGAACTTTCAAGTTTCAGGGACGGCCGTTTTGTTTTTATGGAGTGAGGTAGCTGCCCCTAGGCATAACCTCCCCTCTTTGCCAGTCTTATTACTAGCTTAGCTAGGTTTAGGAGTGCGTCGGCCGGGGATCGAACCCCGGACCTCTTTCATGGTTGGTGAAAACACGTTACTTTCTGTGGTTTATTTATTAGCTGGATCTAGGTGATGATATTGATTTGTACATATTGGTGCCTGCATTGCTATAGTAACAGAAATCTAGTGTTCTGAAGAGGTTTTCCTATGTATAACAGATAAGTGGTGTATCTGGTCAAGTTGGCACACATTGCACTAAGATATTTTGCAAGTCAGTTACCATGTGAGATTTTGTGCACTTTTCGTCCAGCTCATGACTGTTGTATGAGAGTTGATTGTACTAACTGAACTGCAGTAGACAGAACAGGCTTTGGATCTTTGACGGACTCTTTGGTGTTGAAATACGTACATCAAAGTACTGCAGTCAGTGTACTTTTCTAAGCCTTTGAAATCTACTCTTCACTTTACATGGCTTAATTGTGGTCATTTTGAAGTGTTTTTAAACGACAAGTGGCAGTACATTTCAGCTACTTTGTCCTTTATTGTACCCCGTTATCAAATTAAAAGATACATGAAGTAAATGCGCGTCGGTGGTTCAGTGGTAGAATGCTCGTCAACCACACACGTAGTCCGGGATTCGATTTCTGGCTGACTCATTTCTAAACCTTGCTTAACCGGTAGTAGGCCCGGGAAAAGGAGAGGGTTAGGCATGGAGCTAGCTACCCTACCCCGTATAAACAAACATTACCGCTACTGAAACTTCAAAGCTCAAGTCTGAATCCCCATGTTCCAGTTGGAGAACACAAAAGAATAAAAAGAAAGAAATAAAAACCTATAATACCAACTATCTGAGCAAATAAAGGTAGCTTGCAATGTTGATTTAGTAATTCTATTATCTATTACCAAAACTATTGGTGATTAACTGCCAATACTACTAGATAAGTGTTAATTTTTAGCATTGTCGTCGATTTACGCGTTGTATGTAAAGCTTGTACATTGATTATTGACATAATATCAGATTACTATGCTTAAAGTTTATTCTGCGAAATTCATACTTCTAGCCAGAAGTGAATAGAAATGTTTGCGCATACGTTTCATTCAAGGCTGTTAAACTATCTTTTGTTTTTTCTTCTTTTAATCTTTTAGGTTATTAGATAAATTATTAGTTGCTTGTCCCAATTCACCTACCTGTGATAGTATAGTTTATCGTTCAAATCTTGAAGAACATTTACGTGATTGGTGTATCAAGTTACATCCACCTCGTGAAAGGATAATACAAAGTGGTGGAGTGAAACCATCGCGTCCAGGTCAAAATAATCCATCTAAAAATGTATTTTTGTCTACTTTCATTGGAACTGAATCACACGACTCAGGTATGTTTCCACCAACAATATCTGAGTCAACAAGATGCACAAGGATGATGGATCCACAGATCATACAGCAGCATCAGCAGCAACAACAACAACAACAGCAGAGAAACATGAATTTTCACAGTCCACATAGTGACTCCAGTTTTGGTATTGTTTATCCCAATCAATATATGAAAGAGTTTCCTCATAGTAGTTTCGCATCAGTTACACGGAGAGGATCAGATAAGATAATGAAAACAAACTATCAGAACAGTTTACCGCATATTGAAGATCAGTGTAAGTCTGAGTATTTATTATCAAGCTTGCAGGACTGTGAAGTCTCCTGAGTGTATGTATTTCTTATGTTATTTATTACGCCCTGATCACTATCTGCATAAAATTAGCGTCCTATTTGTTAGGTAAATTTATGTAAATGATATGTATTGGTTCAGTAGGCAAACCTTGGGGACACTTACAAATAAATCTTCACAAGTAATACAGAATTTTACGCTGAGTATTGGGAATGTATTCATATAAGGCATAATAAAAAAATACTTCTAAGTAAGAATTATGGTTTATTAATTTACGAATTTAATTATCAACTATTGTGTCACAGTGCCTTGTAGCATAGTTGATGAATTAAAGAAGTAATATTAGTTACAACCTATCTGTATCTGCCTTATTTCTAAACTAGTAGTCCCCATATGTAATGCATGGTCTGTTTATGATGAGTGGCAAATAAACCAGTTCTTATGAAAGTAAAGCTTATGATGTAGAGCTAAACTTAGACTTCAATTCGGTCATCAACTGACTTCAGTTGGAGGGAGTACTGAACAGCTGTTTTACCTTAGTTTGGGAGTCTTCGGCAGTACGCACCCATGACCCCAGTGGGGATCGAACCCAGAATCTTCAGGCTACAGGGTGAACTGATTAACCATTCAGTCACTGGGAAGGCCCATTAATTGTAATTTCTGCCATTTTGCGATGTATAGGACAAAACAGATGTCCAGTTCTTTCTGATTTTCAATGGTTCTCTAACTGAAGTCAGGTGGTGATCAAACTTAAAATCAAAGGAAGTGACTTCTGTGTGTAAGTATTCGCCTTGATTTTGATGTTTTCATAGTCGTTAAGCAAGAAATATAGCTCATTGGCTTAAGGATCAATATTCAGCCAATGGGGTTGGGGTCCAAATCCTGATTTCACCTAATTCAGCCCGACGAACTGGTTGGTATCACCAACTGTTATTTAGTAAATGTGATAGTCTGATGCATGAAAAATGGATTCCGTGTAACTGGGTTCTATCCATACTTAAGTCTTTAGTTTGTGATGGTATGTGAAGGTGAGAGTCCACGATTAAAGCCGCTGATCGACTCTTTCAAAACACTTTGTTTGAAATGTCTGGTTTTCTTAAATGTTAGTCTTAATGCCTTTTAAATTTACTCTGTTTATTATTTCTGTATATTTCATACTCAAAAAGTCTTTCCATTTGAGAAATTTGCGTGATGTCTGTGTCTTTCCGTTAAACGTGAAAGATTCACAAAGGATTCATATATCTAAGCAGTATTGTATTTGTTATATTGCTTATTTTTGGCAAAACTATTATTTAACTAGTAGTCCTATAGGTAGGTGAAGAGATTATCTGAAGGAAGAAGACCTCGATTATTTACGTTTGGAACTTCAGTCGAATAAGATATTCGGTTGGAGGATTTCATCATGAGCTGACATCAGTTAGAGAACCATTAGAAAACCTGTAAGAGACTACTGGACAGCTGTTTCGTCCTAGTTTAGGACTCTCCAGGTCAGGCAGTAACTCATCAAAGAAGACATTGCGAAGTGGTCGCGCTGTGTCATGAATTGGCAGAAGTTGAAATTCATAGGCCATTGGATCGGGTCCCAGTGGCTCAATGGTCTACGAGCCCGCTAGACTTGTAACCAAAAGGCCCTGGGTTCGAACCCTGGCGATAATGAAGAGTTCCAAACTAGGATGAAACAGTTGTCCAGTACTCCCAGGTCTTCCAATCGTCCTCTAACTGGTGTCAGTTCATGATGAAATCCTCCAACCAATCAAACAAAATCCCTACAAAAAAAAATACTTGAATAAGGTATTTATCAAATATTATGTCTATCATAATGTTTTATGTTAGCTGAGTTGGAATTTTATTGAAGAAAGGCTAAAGTTAATCAGACAAAGAAGTATACACAAAGTATATTTGCATAAAAATATTTACTACTGGTCGATTGAGATAAGTAGTTAGTTGTATACCACTCACATCAACCACTAGTGCTTGCTAGCCAGATGGAAGTGGTCATTTCGCTCATTTGAGACTAAGCTCACCAGCGGTATACACGGTTCAACCCAGCTCAGGGAGCTGAATCATGTCAAACCACCTGATTTCTGGCTAGCTACCTTGGCGAACTGGTATTCAGATCACAGTGTGAGATCTGAATGATTTGGGTTTCTTTTCATTACAATAATATAACTACTTTATTCCAAACAATCATAATTATACGGAATAGAATTCTCAGAGTTTTTACATATTGCAACAATTTAGCACCCTCTATAGATATATAAAAACACATAATATAACAAAAATAATGAAACGCAAAAACTGAAAGTTAGTTAGTGGAATATATTGAATAATAAATAACTAATATATAATAAATAATAAATGTATTAATGATTCTGGATAGAATTTGCTGTTTATTTATTGATGTAAAACGGTCTATAAGCTCTAATCTGACTTTTCTCTCTTCACACAAAACCCGTGCTAAATATGGTATTGCTGAATTTTTATGTCTAACTGTGTGCTCATAGATGCTTATGAAATTTCTTTTCTGGCTTTGCCCGAAGAGATACAAGGAAAAGGTTGTGAAAAAGACGATGTTCAGTATCAGACAAGATAACTTAAGCTAACTGTTTAAAAGAATTGAAATGCCTATCGACAAAAACGTCAGTTACTTGAGTCAAAGGCACACTAATAATCCCACTAACAACCTTCATCGTTCTACGTATTAATACATATCATTTCTTGAGAAGCCCAGGGAAGAATAAGGGGTAAGAATAAAGAAGAATGGACAGAATACACGAATCCATAAATTGTAGGAGATGAGGTCGAGTTATGTCAGAGAGTGTCAGCTTCTTTATGCAATAAGTCAAACGATAAATTTTCTTAGAAATCAACAAGATATGAGACGACCAACAAAGATCTGAAAAGAAACTGAATCCAAGATAAGTGCTAATCGGTTTGTTTCCTATTATATTGTCGTCGATGTTAAGAAAATTATGGGACCGAGTCAGTTCACGCAAGTGTTGTTCCTGCCTGAAACTAAAATCAACATTATAACATTTAGATGGATTCAGCTGAAGACCATTTCAGTGAGACCATTGGTTAACCTCAGATAAGAAAATATCCATTTTAGAACAATTCACTGCAAAAACTACTGGGGCAAAAATCGTCAGGTCTTTAGCATATTCAATGAAATTAGCTTTGGATGAATACGGTGGATCATGGAAAAAGAAAGAAAAAAGAAGTGGAGAAAGGACAGCGTTATGAGGCATACCAGTTTCCGTAAGCAAAGAAGTGAAGCGCTTTCCATTTAAAACAGTACTTTGTTTTTTTAGCCGAACGATGGGAAGACAGCCACCTTGTGACCCAAGATTCAGTGCGTGCTGAAATCAGCTTGCTTGGTAAACGTGCCCTGCGATTATAGTCAAAAGCAACAGTGTAATCTAAAAAGGAGGCTCAAACAAACTTTACACCTTTAATCTAGACTCGGAACAATATTGTGGTGGAGTACAATAGTAGCATCTAAAGTGCTTCTGCTGCCTTTATAAGCAAACTACTTTGCATCACTGAAAGATTTTAATGAAGGTTTAAGAACAAGCAAGAGTAGTTTCTCCATAGAAATAAAAAAAGGACGTGATAGTGATTGGCCTAAACTTTAAACCTGATCTCGAAGATGATCTTCGTACAACCTCAACCTTTATTTCTTTCCAAGCACAACAGGCACTGTATCCGTGTGCAATGATGCATTAAAGATATGTGTAATAGGATGACACAAAATATCTGCACACTTTTGAAGTAAAATACTTGTTACAACATTGGAAGCTAGGCTGTGTGATGGATTTAAGGATTTGAGACATCCTTTTCATTAAAGCCTAGAAAGTAGATAATTTACGTGACTAGAAACATCAGGTACAACCAATATTATCAGCTTCTTGCTTTAAGAAAGATCTATTTAGGGCATTTACATCAGAATAAACACCAAAAGAAACTGTAGTGAATGTTCACTTGGAATTGAGAATCTAATTTACGCATATACTAAACCATTTCCACAGCACTTCTACTATTTTGATTTGTGGCTGTGAGACCTGGGCATTAAAAGTGGAAGACATGAAAAGGTCGGCTAGCTGTCTTCGATCATAGCTGTCGGCATTCTATCTCCCATGTTAAGCGGTGTAACAAGGTGAGCAATATTGAGGTTAGGTTTCGGTAGAGTGCTAGGTAAGGAGGGAGGGTAAATCAATCAACGAGGTTGTGAATTAACATCGATTGAGAAGGTTAGGACATGTGCTACGCATGAATCCCTAAACATCGCCTTCCTCCAACGACGTGGAATGTTAACTGACTGACATAAAATGGATCAGGTTGGAAAAGAGCCAGTGGTGGTCAAACCAAAATATGGCATCAGTCAGTGAAGTCCATAACAGTTAGTTTAAGCCAGTCAGCCAGCCACATAGGGAGGTGTAGACTTCCTGACTGGTTAGGGTCATCGGGAAGGTAAAAACCAATGAAGGCTTGAGGCAATTGATGATATGGCTCAAACTCATCTTTCTCAATGGCTGGTGCAGATGCATCCACTCCTTGTGATTTATAGTAACCAATAAAACTATATGGTTCTTCGATATTACTATTCTTTTTACCTCACATCTCTGCTTACTGTTTCTGTTTTGGATTTTCTTTTTACTTTCTTCTCATGTTTTGTGTGCTACATGGAGTGTGGCAACTCGAACTGGTGCACATCTGTGCAGAGTTCTACGATGAAACCAGTTAGTCAGTCAGCCTACTATTTTTAACAAATGCATTTCAAGTATTAGAACGAAAAGTCGTTATATTAATATTCAATTTTTATTCCTTTTGTCTTTGGTATCGTCTGACTCCCAACTATATGAGTCTTTTTTGTTTTAAACACACAAATATATGTGTAGTAAGTTTATTACAAAACTTAGCTCTTCTAAAGTTACCATGATTGACTAGTTTTTTTAAAAGTCACTATTCGGGAATTTACAAACAACTTACGGGGATATAAATTTTCACGAATCCAATCTCATATTTTCAGTGATGTCTTTTGAACGCTATTCCCTAGAATAATAAAAAGAAATCCGGTTTTGTTTGTTGATTCGCCAGTGCACTTGTTGCAGCCACCGTAGCAACTGTTTATAATTTGCTAGTAGATCTGTGGTTCATTGGCTCAGGGAATCTGCTTTCAGTTTTCGTGGAGTTTCTCTTTTAACCCACCAACATTTAAGAAATCTGTTAAATAGTATTATTAGTTCTCAGATAATACTCTAAGTATACGGAAGTGCAATGACAGTATTAACTAAACAGCTGCCCCCATAAACAAATTAGTAAGGCTGACGGTGGGTAGATTTCGGTCTTCCTCTAGAAACTTTTCCATTTAGCCACGCGTTCGTAGCCCCTGCTAGGTAAGTCTTATTAACTGCCTTAACGTGGATGAGGTGGTTCTTCACAGAAGTGAAAGGGTGATTTCAAACGTCTGACGCATACAACCGGACTGGTGAACATTCACGTCTACCTAAAGTAGATGGAAAACTCTCATTTCAAACCTACAGTGTACATTGGCTCCAGAATCCGAACAGATCGAATGTCATGTAAACCTGTTTTGGTCACCGGAAACCATGGGAACGCAGCTGCTGATGCTGTACCACTGTCTTGCGGAACAGGCTTGGGGTCAAAGGTTCGGGGGGGGGGTGGTCTTTCAAGACAATCACTTACTTCAGTCTTGGCGCCCAGGTGTTATCGCAGCTGTCGCACAAACTGTGAGGCTTCGTGTGGCGCATGTCTGGGCGCCCATGATGTACCAAGTTTGTGTTTTTAATAATAATAATAAAGCTATACAGTTAAATAATAGATGGCTTAGGGTGTCATAGGATGCAGACAGATCTCAGTTCGAGGTATTTCTTTTACTACTATCGATTGTCCAACTCCGACTAAGTATGCTCTCTACAAGATGTTGACAGTGTTTTGTGAGCGCTTAGTTATATTTTGTTTCTTTTAAAGTATGAGATATTTTTTTGTCAATTAATCATTAGCATAAATGTCAATGTTTCTCTTTTCTTTTAAATTATTTTATTTATTAGCTGACTCACCAGTTATATATGAAGGTGTTCCTGTTTCAATTATAATTTGTCGTCCACCTAATTGCCTAGATTTGGGCTTCACTTTTGTCGGTGGTATTGATACACCGTTGGTAAGTTGTCATTTTATCTTTTAACACTCGTTGTATGTTATATTGGTCATATGAAAATCAGTTCTCATTAATAAACTAACAAATACTAAAATAACTGTTCCATATAAGTTGTGAATAATTATTCAGTAGTGCACAATCATGGATGATTTATGTCTAATATCATACAACCTTGAAGATGTACAGGCAGAAACGAACAAGTTTGAAGAAGAGACGGCGAAGACATGATTTCCAGTGAAGAGAGAGAGAGAGACCTAGCAGACTACAACAAGCATCAATCACCACCAATGGGAGAAATCTAAAGGAAGTTACTTTTTTCACTTATTTAGGTAGCCTCGTTTCAACTTCAGACGGGAGCACTGATGCAGATGTCAAAGCCAGGATCTGTAAAACAAGACAAGGCTTCCTCAATCTGAGATCACTGTATAGATATCTGTGGCACTCAGCATAAGTAAAAAGATTTGGATTTTCAACACTAATGTCAAGTTAGTTCTGTATTGTTCTGAGACTTGGCACATACATCATGAAAAACATTTCCAACAGGTTTCACACTTTTACCAACAACTGCCTTCTCTTGTTGAAGATCAGATGAGTTAAAAGGATAAATAACAAATAACTCTAGCAACAAACCAACCGACAACCTAGCGCCCAACAAATACTCAGAGAAATATAAAGCTGGATTGGACATACGCTGAGGAGGAGACTACTGAGTGACATGCTCTCGACATCGCTTGCCAGGTCTTCGGGTAGGACCCGAAAGGGAAGCAAGAAGTAGGGCGTCTGAAAGTGACATAGAGGAGATCATGTGAGGAGGAGAAGGAGGGGGAGATAAAAACTTATGGGAAATCGTAGCACCAGCTAAATTGGACTGCAGAGAACAGAGTGAAATGAAGATGTGCTGCCGAAGCCCTATGCTCCACTAGGATAAAATAAATAAATGCAGAACGTTCAATATTTGAATTTTATAGATATTTACAGAAGTATTTTTTCTTCTCTAGTATTCATTCACAACATTGACCGAAGTGTACCTTTTACGGTTTTCTTTATAGGCATGCATACTTATACAAGAAATCTATCTGGATGGTCCAGTCGCTACTGATGGACGTCTTAGACCTGGTGATCAGTTGCTTGAGGTAAATACTGATTGGTTATTAAGCAATTCTATCCGTTAATCTAATGTAATGATGGTATGTGTTATAAAGACTTTTAATTTTCGAAAGTATGAACTTTCCTAATTGTGTTCCGTCTGCTTGAAATATATATGTGACTTCAAATGACCAATCTTCACTTATGTTGTAACGACAGAAGACAAGGGGCAGGCAAATAATCGTTTATTGAGAAAATCAAGAGATGTTTATAGATTTTTATGTACATTATTGTCAACGGAGAAGCACCGTCTTCTAATTGGTTGTTTTCTTGCCGAAGCTTATTCTGTGTTGCTTGTGACCGTTTCTCAGAAAGTTAAGCCATATATCTGCGGATCGTATTTTTCCCTACGTTAAGTCTGCTGTGATTGGTTGGTGATTTCCTCAAGGTTAAGCTTTGTTATTGTTTTTCTCATGGCCCCGATTCGGGACATAACATTGACGTATATTGCTGTCTGCAATTTTCGGCTTGCAGCCAGCTGTCACCACAATATTACTTAAATTCTTTGTTCATTTTTTTCTTAGCATCTCACGAAACAGATATGTTTTCTGATATTGATATTGTTGATAGTTTAACTCCCTAGACAACATATTCATCCTCTTACGACTTTGCTTGAAAAACGTGGAGGTTATGCCACACACTGCATATCGGTTTCATTTACTGTATTGTGAACTAAACTCGATGTGTAAAGACTGGTGATTACTACCCGGTGGTCTAGCTAGACTGAAGCAGATTGGGTGAGTTTCGAATCTATGACTCATTGACGTAAACTTACGAATTTAGTCTGTTGAGCCAATAAGAACATACGTCAAAAGAAAACAAGTTTGATTATTGAGAAATTTTCATATTTCTAGGGTCTTGTACTTAGTTTTACTTTGATTGAATACTAGGTGATAACTAGTGTTATGCGTCTACTCCTTTGTTTGGTACAGGCTAATAAAAACAATTCAGAGTGCACAGTGATGGCGAGCCACCTAGCGTAGTGGCCACATTACAAACTTGACTGATAGAATTCGTGAAAACAAAACACTTAGCTCAGCGAAGAGTCTCTTTTCGGTGAATTCATTTTCTTAGCTGTACAATCGCATATATATATATATGTATGAGTTATTTTGTATGCATGTGTACATTAAGTTTGTCAAACAAAAATACAATTGGTTATGGGTATTTTAACTAAACAGGTGAATGTTCGTAAGTTTTGGGTAGAGTTGCGTAATACAAAAACGGTCAAGAAAATTGGGTGTTAATGAAACTAGTGTACTAACAAAGGTGATGAGTTGTCACAAACAGTTGTTAAAAAGAAGTTACGTAATAATATGAATAGTTTGATGATTGAGTTGCACTCAAGATACACACAGGAACAAAGTAGAGAGTAGGAAATTACGTAAGAGTTCTAAATGAATACAAGAATTATAAGCAATTAAAGAAACAGTCAAACAAACAAAATTAAGTCACCAGAAATCAACAAAGTTGTTACTTCTATTATAGAAGTGGTTGAGCAGTTCTATTCTGTATGCACTGCTCCGGTTTTTCTATGTGACTCTTGACTCTGTAGATTACTTTGAAAGAGGCGTTTGTTGAAGTGGGATGATCAGTGTTAACGAGATGTTCAATTATCGCACTCTTTATAACACCACTATTGCCTTTTCGCAACCATGGTGGGTAGTTTTCTTGAATCCTCTTGGACAGGATGCGCGTCAAACAACCGATGTACCTGGCTTCACAGCAGCAGGTGAACTGATATATGCACACAGAAGTGGTCAGGTGCGCGATCTTGTCCTTAAGGCTTCTGCAGATCCGTGGGCAACTCGAGAACACTATTCTTAACGTTGCTGCAAGGAGAGTTCTTCTCAGAGATGATGTGATCCTCCTCTTGAGAATATCGCTCGCTAAATCTTCCTTGAAATCCAAGTTCATGTAGAGTTTCCTTTCGGGCGCAAGTGAAGTTTCATTCCTCCAAATTCTTGGTGTGATATTTTTGTCAATGAATCTTATTGGGTATCCATTTTGGATGAAGATTTCTCTTAAAAGATATAATTCTGTCTGCATCAAACCAACGACTAGACGCATGACATTAATTTCTACCTGATGTCCAGAATAGTCCTACAGGAGGTCAATCGCGAGCCCGAATGGCTCACTGGGTGATATAGGTTCGAATATCAGGAGGAAAATGAGTTCCTTCAAGATTGAAAATACGCCCTGCTGACTGTTGAGTGTCACCAGGCAAAAAACCTGGGTAGAAGACATCCTGCCGATTACCTCCAACCATCTAATAGCTTAGTTTTGCGTTGTTCTGCTCATCGCTCTTTATTTACTCTCCTATACTGATTTTTATGCTGATAGAAAGTCCAGTGACTTGCACGAAATCACCTTTATATGAAGTATGTTTGTGTTACTTTCTTTGAGTATTTAAGATCTTTTTTTAAAGACTACGTAATACTTAATGTGTTCAACTAAAAATGTTTTCCTCTCCTTTCTGTTTATTTCGTATAGGTAAATGGAAGTTTATTGACACATGTAACACATGCTGAAGCTCATCATCTTTTAACAACTCCATCATCTATAGTACAATTCACTGTTTTTCGTGAACCAGTATCCTTGAACGCTCAACAATCTCAACCACAATATCAACAAGGTAGTCATTGTAGTTATCATTGTTTATGCATATTTTCATATGGGGTGGTAGTCTTAGTGATGCTTTTTCTTAATTGAGTAGGTAAGCTTCACTGTAGATTTTCTCATTAGTCATGAAACCACTGAAAGACATAGTGCTCTGGAATGCGGTGACTTCTTTTTCACTACATTCCTTAGTAGAACCCACCCATGGTCTTGTAAATGAGTGAGTCTCAGGTTGTGATACAGGTATGTTGTCCATTCAGCCATTGGATTGGAATATATATACTTATGATTTCAACGTTAAGCGGTTAATTGTTCAGTTTGAGTTTGGGTTTGTGTTTGAAATCCACAATCCATTAGTGTTAATATTGAAACCATTGTAGGTGAGATCCATTAGGAATAGCCAGTTACTCCTCCGTTTTTTCAAACTGTCTATCTTACAGTGTTAAACATAAAGACATTTTTGAAGACTTGTAGAATATAATTCAAAATTAACATCATTTGAAAATTTGGCTTCAGTTTTCTCACGTGTTCTTTATAAACATTGGTGCAGAAGTAAATAAGCTTTTGCTGGACCCATCTTGTACACCTGCAGCATTTAGGTCTTATTCTTATTCAGCTGAATACTTTGGAATGTAGCAGTGCTTATTTTTCTTTTTATTAAAGCATGATGATTTAACGTTCTACCAACTGGTTGCTTTCATGACCAAGTCTGTTTTTAGCCGGTTCGCGAACACCATATTGGACTTTTTTGAACATCCAGATGTTATGCGAGAGAGGACAACAGATCCTACACAACCCAAAACGTTGACATCTAAGATTTGGGATGCTTGTTGTATCTCTAAGACAAGCATAAAAGACTTAAGTGTAGACACTCACTTAATACCACCTAGACGACAATATGAATCTAAAAGTTGACGGGTGTCAAGAGATTTTTTGATTGATTCTGATGCACTTATCGGTATAGGGATGATGTTGAGCTCTAAAGCCAAAAGCTCACTGCTGCGTTAGATCTCAATAAAATGTTTATCTGTTTTGCCCGAATAAATGGATCGAAAAGAATAAGAAATAGTCCCCACTTACGATCGGATATCGCAATTATAATGAAGTTAGTGGTAACCGTGAAGGACAGGCAGGAAACTAAGTTTTCGTGGCCTGCAACCGTGGTCTGACTTAAATACAGTCTTCAGTGCAGTTTTGATCGAATTTTCAAAAAATGTCTAATCTAAAATGAGGTCAGACAGAGCACGACCTTGTTTTTTGTCCTTAGAAGTGTTTACGGATGTTGGAGATGAATTATTGATCACATAAACTAAGATAGCTAGTTGACTAATTGGCTAGCTGGTTTCAACGTAGAACTTTGCACAAAAGTGTAGCAGTTCGAGTTGCCACACTCCATGTAGCACACAAAGCAAGACAAAAAAAGGAGATTCGAGAGAACGATAATTAGTGGAAATGTGAGGGAGAAAGAACAGTAACATGAAAAAAACAATAGGGTTTAATGATTATGGCAGATCACAAAGAGCGAATGAATCTGCGCCATTCAGAACGATTTCGAGCTACATCAGTTGTGTCCAGCCTTTGGTTTTCAGAATCCTTAGGACCTCACTCGGGCAGTCTGCACCTCCCTACGTGGCTCAAACTAACTGTCAAAGATTTTATGGGCCGACTCCACGTTTAAGTTCGACTACCATTCGATGTTTTGCAACCTAACCCCATGTCAGCTTACATTTTTCGCCTAGAAAGGCGATGCCGAGGTATGTGTAAAACATGTCGTAGCTATCTCAATCGATTGTCAATCTTCACAACTTCATTGATAGATTTTCTCTCCTTACCTAACATTCGACGCCTAACCTTAGTATCAATCATCCTATTATACCACCTAAAATGGGAGAGAGAACGCAGACGCCTATGATCAAAGACAGCTAACCTTTTCTTGTCGTCCACTTCTACTGGTCATGTCTCACAAGCTATAAAGGACGGAGCGAACTGCTTCTCAGTGCAGTACTGACTGTACTGTAACTGAAAATTGTTGATGGTGACACAATTGTGTTCACTTTCTCTTACTATAATTTTGAAAATCATTGCTAGTTTGCAGTAGATCATTTCATCTCCCATACATCTTCACACCTTTACATTCCATCAAGTGCAGAAAATATTTGAGATTTTTAAAGGTACATTATAAGGCGACATGCAATGAAATAGGATAAATTACACTACTTTACAATACCGTCTACCGTTGCCGTCAGTAGTTACGTTTTCTGGACTATATGTGATGCAAATGGGCGAAAACTAAAGGAATCTTTTGCATCTGTACTTGAATTTCGTTGACGTTCCACTTCTTAAAGTCAGTCGACTTATATCTATGTAGACCAATCTTGAAATAGTATCTCACTTCATTTCACTGATGAGATAATTTACTAACACCAATTTTTTTCTGAAGCGCCTATTTATTTCTTTAAAAAACTGTGCTGATATTTTGACTTACTATTCTTATTTATTGATTTATTTTGCTCCTCCTTATGCGTTCCCAGTGGAACATATGGGCATTAATCATGAACTTACTTTTAAGTTTCAGTAGTAGTGGTGTTTATTTTTTACAGAGTAGGCTGGCTATCCTCACGTACAATCTTCCCACTTTACTGTACTTACTGCGCTGTCTAAGCATAGTTTAGGAGTGAGTCGACTGGATGTCGTATCTGGACCATGAGTATGGTTGGTGAGCATTCTACTGTGGTGAGAGCGGTCTACTAGCCAAGTGGTGGACAGTAATTGAGGTCAATGTTTATGTATCAAATATTAGTCATGTTGTAGTGACAGATGGTTGCCTGGCCCTTGTCTTCTGTTGTTACATTTGGTGTCGCTGCCTACCGACAAATGGAAAGCCTATGCCCTGCAGTTTTTGATGGAGACATATGGATCTTCGGGCAGGACTTCGAGGCTTCTTCGCAGTTGAGTGGCGTTCAAGATCTGTCAGCGATAAGGCTGCTACTTGGGACGCTGCTGGGAGGTCGGGAGAAAGCAGCATATGGAAGTGTGAGGCGAAATACCTACGAATGTGCGGCAGGGTCAGGCAAACAGTTTCCAAAGTGGGAAGGACCATATATGGTCGCGTTGAGATGGGGTTACGCAGACACAATCGCAATGGTAAACACCGTTAAACAAGTGGACATCCGCAAGCGCCGAGATTCCAGACAGCAAGACAACAGAGCAAAGCCCCAAGAACCGAGAAGATCGAGCCGACTTCAGTCCAAACTATTTGACGGGGGGACGAGTGTGGTGAGAGCGGTCTACTAGCCAAGTGGTGGACAGTAATTGAGGTCAATGTTTATGTATCAAATATTAGTCATGTTGTAGTGACAGATGGTTGCCTGGCCCTTGTCTTCTGTTGTTACACTACCGTTGAATCACCACCGAATTACAGAAAGCACTTATTTCATTCAATATCTACGGAGGCGGGGGGGGGGGCGAACTGATGTTAATGGAGATGAGTCTGTCTCGGGCAGCTATTTCATAAACCTCTATACTCTTACTCTTTAACCTAATTATTCATTGAAATAGATTATGAAATAACAATTGTTCTTTTCCTATTTGTGACCTCAAACTTGTATTGTAAATAAGTCACTCAACAGTTGTATATTCCAGCCTAAAGAGTTCATTACTTTCATTTTCATTGGAAATGTGTGTAATCTGTCTGAAATAATACAAATTTTACCTAACGAAACTCCAAGAAAAGTTTAACAACTGTTATATATTTCGATTTTTATTTTATTTTTATTAATGAAGATATCTCTATACATGCATACATAAATATACACCATGTAATATATACGCATGTATTGATTAATATTCACTTATACCATGTGTCTTTGATTGCCATCTTTTTCGATTTGGTCACTATCTATGCAATAGCATAGCCTGTTTACATGTTGTTGCTGTTTTTTTTTTATTTCAAAGGAGAAAACACTCCATTGTTATTGTGTTTCGTTCATTATCAGATGACTTATTCTATATGGTTGTTAAAATGTTGTCATTGTTTCTCCGCTCTTCTTTTGCTTCCCTTTCCTTTCTGCAGAAATATTCTATGTTAAATTGTGTAAACGTCAGGGGAAAGTGCTTGGAATTAAACTTGTTGGGAAAAAGTAAGTGTGATTCATAACGCTGAATGATGAAATTAATCGCTTTTTATGTGTAATAAGACTGTGATGGTCTAGTATATGTTGCCGTCCCTCATCCTCCCTTTCCCCCTCCCTCTGTGTGTGTGTGCGTGTGTGTAGGGTTGTATTGGTGGTTAAAATGTCTAAAAGCCGAATACTTGACCTACTAGTTTTTGTTTTCTTGTTGTTTATAAGACTATTCATTTAAAGAAACATTTCAGCATGACTGTCGCTATTGTAATTGATGTTATTATTATTATTATTTTTGTGTAGGTCTTGTTGTATAACCTTTTGCTTTCCATACTGCTTAATTTTACCTCATATATGAGTGTAAGGCACAAAATAGAAAATTTCAACACTAGTCACGAAATGACTTAAGCTAGAGAAAATCATTGGAATTCAGAGAGTACTGGAAGGCTGTTTCGTCCAAGTTTGGGATCTTCGTCAGTAAGCGGTCAGGGATCGAACCCGTGACCTTCAGGCACTCCCAGTACCGCCTAGTTTTCAATGATTCTCTGACTAAAGTTTCTTCGTAATTAAAGTCGAAATTAATTATATCCCTGCAAACCAAAACTTTAAAACACTGTATGCACAAATAAATGATATACATCAATAATGCTTTGGGGATGATTGTTATGTATTTGCATAGACTGTATTCTCTTATTGGCAATAAAATGAATAACGGAAGCCTTACACGTGCTTTTTCTCTCAGTGTTGCGTGGTATCAATCCATGCAGTATTTGAAAGTTGGTTTGGGGGTAGCCATGTAGGGGGGGTATTGGCTGCCTAGTTCGGGTCTTCGAGATGTTAGGAATCAATAGCTTCGGACTTTTGGTGGTATGACCTCAAATGCATTCACTGTTTGCAATTCTATAGATCCGCGAAAGCTTAGTATTTTTTCCATATTACTATTCTTTCTCCCGTACATTTCAGTTCATTATAATTATTTCTGGATTTTTCTTTCCTTCTTCCTGCCATTATGTGCTACATGGAGTGTGGCAACTTAATCTATTGTACAAAGTTCCACATTGAAAACAGCCAGTCAGTCAGTTATTCCAAGCATACTTTACAAATTGTCTTATTTAAAATGCTTATAGACCTAAAACCAACCAATGTCTTCAGTTAAAGTTAAGTGTAATTCTGTAGTGCACAAGAAGCCATTTCCCAATACCATCTTACATATAAGACTGATACTATTTCTGTCCCAGTAACTTACACTTTTCCAAAATCATCTTTAATTGTGAAATTAAAATTACATTATACATATACAAGCACCATTATTATTCTTTTAATCGAGTTTAATATGGAATTGAATCATTACCGTTCTGCTAGTGAAGTTTATTTTGAGGAATTATCTAGTATGACCCTGATAAGTATGTCTCACTTAATGATAGTGACTGCTTAATATATGTCCAAACCAAGTTCACTTTTAACGGTTTGAAAAAATTTGGGCATTGGGTATATGACGGCTTATCCATAGACATTAAACAATCGACATAACTATTGTGTAAATAATTAGCTTAAGCAGTTGATTTCCAGTCATTGGGTCCAAAACTTCAAACTCCCTTCCCCCTACTTCAACCTTTACAATCGGTAGTATCGTAAGTTTCCACATACTGAAGTCTCACACATGGAAGATAAGATCTGCACCAGTTAACTCAGTAATATCATCAAAGTTATCATCTTTCCCATCAGACGCACTCCGTTTACTCCTGGGTCGTCCAGTGGTAGAATACTCGCCAACGATGCCCCACGTAGTCAAAGGTTTGATGATCCCCAGCCGACACACTCCTTAACCTAACTTAGTTGGTAGTAAGTCTGATAAAGAGGAAAAGGTCGGTTGGCCATGAGGCTAGCAACTCCACCTCAGTACTACTAAGACTTCACAGGTTAAGCTTGAAACTCCCATGTTAAACCGGCAACCCAAAGAAATTAAATAGTAGTAAATACATCAGCCTTCATTTCACAGGGTATTTTTTACTGTTAATCTTGACACAAATATTTCACCACATCAGTAACAGTGAACTAGTATATTTAATGTGAATTAAAAATATAGAGTTTATTCGATTCAGAGACTACTACAGGCAGAACTGATGAGGAGATCAGAGCAAGGATCGGGAAGGCAAGGCAACTTTTTTTACCCCAAAGCCTGTTTGGAGATCAACAGCACTCAGTATAAAAACATAAGATCCGGATTTTCAACTCCAGTGTGAAGTCGGTGCTACTATACGGGACAGAGACTTGGCGCCGCGTCACGAATGGCACTTCGAACAAACTACAAACCTTCATCAACAGCTGTCTTCGCTCAATACTCAAGATCAGATGGCCGGCCAGAAAAGATCAGCAACAGGGGGGGGGGGGTCTCTGGGGGCAAATCAACCCAGCAGGACCGATTGTGCAACAAATATGCAGGAGGAAATGGAGATGGATTGGCCATACTCTGAGGAAACCATCAAGTGACATCACACGCCAGGCTGTCCAGTATAACCCATATGGGAAGCGGCGAGCTGGTCGTCAGTGAGAGGGTGACTTGGAGGGGGTCATGTGAAGAGGAGATGAAAGTATGTGGGCAGACGTGGAGTCAGGTGAAAACGTTGTCAGAGAATCGAACGCAATGGAGACGTGCGACTGAAACCCTATGTTCCTGTAGGAACTAAAGGAGACAATAATAATATATTGGATTTAAAATCATATTCTGTGACAAGAATTTTGCTGTAAATGTGTAGCCCCTTATGGATAGGGATTTATTATACATTTAATATGATTATGCAACACATTCTCGTCCACTGAATTGTACATAGTTTTACACTTTAATGTAAAAATATACTTATTTTAAAGTAGAGTTTTAGACGCAGGTTTTAAAGACAGACAATTCATATGTGATTGATTGACTTTCCCCTGAGCGCAGCATAAACTCCAGTTTAATAAAGGAAGTTATTCATGAATACATAAAATTGCTGAAATATTTATGCGTATGGTTTTTTGTAGAATACTGTATTCCGCTATATTTTTGTAAAAAGATTTATGTCAAAAACGTTTTTTATTAAATTTGTTTCCCACACTTAAGACTTATGTTTGAAGAAAGATGAATGTTGAGTTTTTCTCTCCACATTGAAAAAATTCAGTAATTGCTGTTACAATGTAACAGGTTGTGAATGAAAAGGAAGTGTGAAACAAGAATGTATTGACATATGTATATGTATATATTATATTTCTAAAAGAAATCTCAGTACTCCCTATGCGAAAATTAATTCAAACATTTCTTTCAGCAAACTAGTCTAGTTGGATTATTGTGAATTTTTTTAAAAAGCGCGTAGTGTGTAAGGTTTTCTTTATTGTCCTTCTATTTTTTTACTCTATTGTTAAGCTTCCTTTATGATACTCGTTATCTGTTATTGTACTGTTTTCACTCTGCAGAAGTAAGCAGTTGGTAATTTTAGTAAATAACTATGGTCGTCGAAGCAGAAATTGTCCAAGTCTTGCATGTTGTTGTAGTGATGTGGTTTATTTGCTTAACTGCTTTAGTTTTAGCCGATGGACAACCGGTTCGAGTCTGTCTCCACTTCAACTCAGGCAACTAGGTAGTATTGTAACAGCAAAAGGCAAGACACGGAAGCCAGCGTATATTTTCAACTGATCAAACGGCTATATATATATATATATATAGCTTATTGTTATTCTCTTAGGTTCCGAGTGGAACAATACATCTACACTTCATCCATTCCTCTACAGGTTCTCTTCAGTTGGATGTACCTCCACCCCCCTCCAGTTAACAGTGATCTCCCCATTGAAACTGAAACGTTATACATACTGTTTCAATGTCAAGACGTTATCCACTAGATTACAGGGCCTGGGAGGCACCCTTTTACTAATCTATGATACCAGCTGTTATTCATCTAGAGATTGTTTTGAATTTCCCGTAGATTGATTTAATTGACATGGTAATGCTTGATCTCTGTTGTCATTTGGACTCCTATTGTGGTGGTGTGATACATACAATTTGTGCCAACGGAATGTTATTCTCACATGTCCCCACACGGTTCAATTCGGCATTAACAACAGAATACGATATATCTATTTGAGCATTATATTTGATGTTAGAGACAGAATACTTTTCCCACAGTTGTATACTGCATTAGCAACATAATACTATGTACATTTGGACATTCTATTTCTTGTCGTTTGGTGTAAACCGAAATCACACGCTCGGTGATTGGTTAATGAATATAAACTTTAGGTATATAAACAGCGGTTTGATTAATGAAAAACTATACTTTGGCTTCCGTGTCTTGTCTTCTGTTGTTACGCTATTATTATGGACGCTTCAATAATGCTCTAAGGTTAACTAGATATCACTTGTTGTTATTCTTTTCAGTCAGTTTAGACTGACTGGAGTGAAATTTGTGGCCTCTGTTGACATTTCAGTCCCTTAGTACAGACTCCTCAACGATGCTTAAAGGTTAATATGAAGTAATTTAATGTATGTTGACTAGCAGTGGAATCCAGGGAAACTAAAGTTGACTTAAACAAGTCATAGCTGATACGTGTTGCATAAGAGGTGGCCCTTATATCCCAGGTGGTCTAGTGGGATATTGCTTTAAAGTTTTGAACTATGGGTACCGGGTACAAGTGTCAGTGAGAATACCATCATTCACCTGGGAGTTGTAGGTTCATCTAGCTGATGAGTCCCAGACAGGATGAAAGTTCATGCTTGATTTCACTGGTAGTCTAGTTACCATCCACCGATTTCCTTTATTAGATATCATTTTCTAACTAAATATATGAACACACTGTATATGTAGTCATCAACTGGTTTTGTTTAGATTATTTTCTCCTGTATAATTTAATGATTTAGGTGTAGCCAGTCACGTTTCAAATTGTGAAGCTTTAAGTCTAAATCTAATTTGAAATAAATGCAGACGTGAAGGTGTAATTAATTAACTAAACGATATTTATCCAAGTTTTCTTTATGAATAACTTGAATCAGTTAATAAATAACATTTCAGAAATAAAAAGAGTGTTTCTTTTCACGCTTTCATAGATAAACGTGTAATGTAAGTTACATATGCACATTTGCATAAAATAAAGCTCACAAATTTAAACATACTTTTTGGATCTTTTTTTCTCTATCCTAAGTTTTCCTTCCTTGTAAATCAAATGTTGACAGAGTTATTTCAATATACATATATAAAAGCTTTAATTCGACTAAAACTAACATTTACATATTGGTGAATATTGTATTGTCTAACTAGTTTCATCCATGACTACACACCAGCAACAGTTTGCTTCTTCTTCTTCTCATCATTAGTCCTTCTTCACATCTCTAAATACTAAGCAATAAACATGCCATTCTAAAGAGTTTAATTATTTCAGGTACGATCACTGACTCATGTCAGTGTGAGAATCAAGGAAAAAAGCCAGGAGTCCTAGACAGCTGCTTCGTTTGAGTTTTGATTTGACATCAGTCCGTGATCAAAACTGAAACAAATTAAATTCCTACAAACTATCTCTTCAAAATTGTTCCGATGCGTGCCTGGAGTTCTGATGGGAAGTCTCGTGACCAGTGACTTGCATCCGGTCAAGATTGAAGACAAAAATCCTAGTCGATAACATTGGCTAGTAGTCCCGCTATAACTAAGCATTGGTAGAAGTTGGGATTCATAAGCTACTGGGAAAGGTTTCACTGGCTGAAAAGTATGCGAAATTTCCGTGTAACCGGAAGGTTCCGGGTTAGAACCACAGTGGACACATGCTGATGAAGAGTCCATATCTATGATTAAAGAGCTTTCCAGTACTCTCTAGTTTTCCATAGTTCTCAAAATGACACCAATCCTTTATCGAGCTTATTTTGACTTAGTGACTCAGAACATAAGCCAGTTGACCTTTGGTTTGGATCAGTCTATACTCACTAAAGTCTGCGAGACTAGGCAGCATTATCAGCCACGTTGCTCATAGCCGGTTAGAAGAAAGAACTCTGCCGGATAACTAACAATGTAATTATTTGCCTAGAGCGTATAGAAATTTTTGAAATATCAATTCTCATGATTGAATCTTTATCCTGATTGACCTTAGACGTAATTGGCCAAATATCCCAAGTTACAGTTATACAATTCGTCACAGGAAAAATCTTCGATTCATGTCCAATTTTGTATTGACTCTATAAACTCCCCAGGAAACTCATAATCTACACTGAAGTTACATATGTGCGATAGGGGTAGGAAATAACATTCGTGAAATAACAAATGCACTTTCATCCAACGATTGCACTTAAAAATCTGTACCCATTTGTCAAAAAATCGATAAGCTGTGAAGCATTTAAAGCAATTAATTAACTTTATGAATCTCGACAGTGCGTCGGTGGCATAGCGGTTAGAACGCTCGCCGATCATGCACATGGTCCGGGGTTCGATCCTCGGCCGATGCACTCCTTTACCTCGCTAAGCCAGAAATAATGCTGGTGAAAATGAAAGGTTGGGCACGAGGCTAGCAACCCCATCCTGTAAAATAAACACTGCTACAGAAACTTCAAGCCACTAGCTTGGAGCCCTATGTTCCACTGGGGAACGTGAAGGGAAAAAAAATGAATCTCGACAAAAGAATTAGAAGACGTAGTTTATTTCAAACGTGTTGTGTATTTGCGCAATCATGACGTCCACTTATTATTGTCCCCTTGGATTTCGGATGGGACTTACAGCTTCAGCTGCTCATCTGCATTTCACCCTGTTCTCTGTAGCCCTTCATAGGTGGTTCCACGGATACCCAGAAGCTATAATTTACCCCCTTAAATAATCTCCTCCATGTTGACTCTCGGACCCACGCCCAACTCGTCTCTTTCCCTTCCCGGGTTCCTCCCCAGGGCCTGGCGTGCGATATCACTCAACGTTCTTCTCAGCATTTGTCCTACCCATCTCTATTAATTAACAAATTATTCTTCTCTTGTGGGTGTTTTGTGATTAGTAGTGCTCATTAACTGTAACTACTAATGCGTTTTCATTTTTGTATATTTAAAGTTTTTCAGAATGAAAGGTTCTCCCCTCCTTTTGGGGCGTATTTAATGACTATTCACTTTCTTCGAGGATATTTACTGATTATAGAGAAACTACTTTATTTGAGTTCATTTACGGGTTGAATTATTGTCCGTTTTGCTTGTGAAGATAATAATTTACAGTATACTAGTGAATAGTTAAACAACCAAAAATTATAATATTGATGTCACCTTCTTAAAATGTATCAGTTTTGCAGTTTGCTGTCGTGTAAAACTTATAAATTTCATCAATAATTCATATATACTTACACATTCTCACTAATTAAGATAAGTTCATCATTGACAATAAATAACTGTAATGTAATACACATTCAACTCATTGATGACATCTTTCAGTTATCTATTTACTGGTTTTGTAAGGAAGAAGTTTGTTCTAAAATTGGTATTAATGGTGAACGCACAGGTTTGGCTCCTTCAGGTGTGGATTCCGACAGCTTTAGATGTATGTAGAAGACGAATTCATGAAGGAAAATTAAGATTATTTGAAATGTGATAAATAACTTTAAATCATGTATTAACATCAACTTTATGATCACTATCTACAAGATATGATAAAATGGAGAGCTATGAATAACTCTTGTTTGTCCCTTGTTCAACCATGAGGGATAGTGTTCCCAAATGCCGTGTTAAACCTGTCTTGCTGTATCCTCAGAGTAACCAGCTCTTCAGGAACAACCAAACTGTTAGGTACACGTAAAGAAGACAAAATTAGGTGTTTTTTTATTCCTTCACGTTTCCAGTGGAATTTAAGGCTTGAAGATTCTGTAGCAGTGGTATTTATTCTTACAGGATGGGGTTGCTAGCCTCATGCCCAACCTTTCCTCTTCTTACCAACTTTATTTCTGGCTGAGTGAGTCTGTGGCCGGAGATCGGACCCCGGACCATGTGCATGGTCGGCGAGAGCCCTAACTGCTGTGCCACCGACGCATAGCTGTAAAATTGTTTATAAACCTATCGCAACTAGTTTATTATGTTGTTTTGTATTATGGTAAAAGTTGGATACATGTATATCAGAGCTACAGATAAGAATCTAATTAAAAATTGAATGTTTCATAGCTCAGACCTTTAGTCTTCTAAATGTCCAAAATTAAAGATTTTTTCTCGTCTTCTCATGATTATTCTGCGCATAACTGTTACTTTCAAAAGAACTGGTGGTCATGTTAGGCTGTAGAATCAACCAATATAATGTTTACAAGTTTTTTCTCGCAATTTTTGTTATTCAGAGGCGTGTTATTTCATTGTTCTGTCATTACTTATGGTGAAGTGATATTTGTTTAAGTAGGTGTGTACCTCACTTTTTCTCAAATGACAACATGGATATGTTCTTCGTTGTTTGCCTTAGTAATTTTATCACACAAACGATTAATTTACAAGCATATGGAAACAAAGACTTGGTGATTTGAATAGTCGATTGTTAGCCTAGTATTTTCCGAATCTCTGGCGGTAACGAACTTCCTAACCAGTGGATTCGTGAGCCTACTGTTCTAATCACTATTCGCAACAACATCCACCACTACATGATACCATGGACACATGCCACAAAGAAGAAAGGAAGAAGGCAGACCGTTGAGTAGAGAGCTTTTTACTGTCTTGGGTCAACAGTTCAACAAGTACACAATGATAATATCATATAATTGTATAAATGCAAAGCGATTTAAAAAGATAGCATCAATCAATAGACTGAATATCGACCCAAGACTGTCTGCATTGGTCACCAACCACGTTGGAAGTCTGTGTTGAATACCCTGCCGAAATACTCTGAAACCTTGTTAAATTCACTAGCTGATAGTTAAGCCTGTTAGATTGGGCGTAAAAGCAAAGAAGAGAACAAAATCGGTACCGGCACTTCATATCTTGAAACCATATGTTCCATCCAAAACTCGAGGAATGGAAGAGAATATCATACAGACAACGACTTGTTGGCTGATAACCTGAAACTTGGGTTACTTTTCTGATATATTGTAACACTTTCAGCACATTAATGTTTGCATCATTACTGTTAATTCAAATCTTTCTCCTCGTCTTCATTCTTTGAATCCATACGTTAGGCACTTACCAGGACTTTATGTACTAGAACTTGTAGCCGGTTGTGAAGCAGATCTTGATGGAAGAATGAAAAAAGATGATCGTATATTAGAAATTAATGGAATAGACTTGGAAAATGGAACACAAGAACAAGCAGCTCAAATAATTAATGTAAGTGTCTCTCTCTTGTTTTCTCTCTTTATATTCACTTGATTGATATTGGTGATTGAATACTTTTCAAGAATAATATATATATATAAATAATGACATCGACTATAGAACTTATACTTGTCTTTTTCGAGGATAAATTTCATATTGAACTGTTACTTACTGTAAAATTGTTAAAAATAAACAGTCAATTTAAAAGTGTCTTAATGTGGTCTCCGGCTACTCAACAGTTTACTTACACCGGATCGATTGTAAGAGTTTTAAACGTTAGCTCAACTCCCTATCGTCTGACAAGATGATAGCATTTTAGCAATTAAATAGTCTTGATTACGGGTTTGATCATGATCTGCCATTAGTTAGAGAGCTATTAGGAAACCAGGGGACGTTGAAATGGCTTTTCATTCTGGTTTGGGACTCTTCAGCAGTACTCACTCATCGGGGTCCGAATCCAGTACCTTCCTGTTACAAAGTGAACTAGTTAGGAGCATTCAACCAATGAAACCCGATCCTGTACTCCATGAATTGTGACTTCTGCCAATTTGCAATGTCACCTCGTCATTGAACCTGTAACCAATCAAATCAGATAATTACACAGCAGTTTGACTATGGGTTAATATTAAGAAAAGAGTGTAGCTTTGATGATTTTTAAGTGTTTTGTGCTTTGAACTGGAGGTTGTCATCATATTTCTAAATGAATCTAAATAGATGCAAGCCGTGGGTCTTAGCGTACACGCTAATGTAGCAGGAGATTACTGACACACCCAGCTGTCTCAGTATAGGGAATTCACTCACATTCGCATACTTGATATTCGCAAGTGAAATTTCCCATTTACAGTTTACACAATTCTAGGTGAAATTTCATCACACTTTTCTTTGGAAACCATAATTATTCAGATAGCAATTTTAGATCTACTTGATACGATAAATGCCAGTTCAGAATGCAAGTGTACATTCATGTTGTTATGAACTACTGATTGATTGGCACGGGAAGTTGAATAGCACTTATATCAACCGGATAGAATTTGAGTGTTAGGTGGTTGGAGATGATTGGCAGAAAGCCGTAGGCGCCTAGGCTTTGTGCTTTTTGGTACTCGTCATTAAGGCGTATCTGCAATCTTTATGAAACTCATATCTCTTCTGTGATTCGAACCTGGGTTCACACAGTGCTACAGTTTGAGATGTGATCACTAAGCCATTCGAGCTCCTGACAAGTGCCAACAAGTTCAAAACTTAGTTCCAAGACTTTCTGCCGATTACTTCAAGCCACATAACAACAGTTCAAGGTGCACCATAAAAGTGATCCCCTTAACATAGTGGTGACATTGCTAACTTGACTGGTAAACTTTAGTCTGTATTAAACGAAGGACCAAACGCGTGATGTTAGTTACACTACCTGGCTTCCAGTCAAAGCAGAATGCCGGTAGTTTTAACTACTTCGGTTTTCTCTGCGAGGTTGAACCGGTATACCGCTGATTACCTCAACCATAAATGAAAAAAACCACTATCCAGTGTTTGGATCACTTTGAACTAGGTAACAAGCACTACTCTTTGATGAGTGGCATTCAGCTGTAAATGAAAAAAAGTAAGAATAATTTGTTTTTACGGGAAATGGTTATTTAAAATTAATCGAATAATAAAGTTGCGTTAAATATCCCAGAATGGAACATTAACCATATTCCATCATTCGTTATAAACACAATACTTGTACAAATTCTCGCATTTGTTTGTTGAAGGTATAATTATTTTATATCCGCAATGATTGCTAAGTTGATATGAGAATACAAAGACGACAACCAAGTAGGAAAGTTCATTTCAGAAAGCGCATAGAGAATAATTTAAGTTTTACTAAAATTATTTTGAAATTTTCTTCTCCTCTCTTGTCTGGTCTAAACAGATCGATTTTCATGAATTCCTGAACTTTTTAGACGTTAGTTGTCATAATCTTGTTATTGAATTAATTTCAAGTAAATCAATTTGCCGGTGGTGTATTCATTATTCATCATTGTTTCAAAAAAATTTAGAATGGTTTTTATTAAATTTTTGACAGCGTTATTCAAAAGGTAAAAAATGAAATTCTTCATATTTTATTGTTGTTTATTATAGTTTGTTTTTACTTCTCTTCTAAGGCTATCTATACTAAATCACTTTTCGACTTCATTTAATTCCTTCTGCCTACTTGATTGTTTGAAATTTAAAACTCTATTGGCTTAAGCGCTTGACTTTCAGCCAAGTGAGTCAAGGGTTCGAATCCCAGTCGACCTACTTCAGTCTAGGTAGTATCATCAACCTTCACGTTCACTTAGTGTGGCTCCTAAGCCTGGTATATGAAAAAGTTGTTGTAGGCAACTGAGTTTTATTCAACTAAGAATCGATGAATTTTTGTGAACGACTGCATATGTTTTACATTTGTCTTATTGTATCTTAAAAATGTATGTTCATTTTTGTGATTCCATCAACTCGTAATAGTTGTATCATTGAATCAAATACACCAGATTATTGATTGGATGATCATATTACGTGATGAACATTTTCTCACAATAATATTGTGTAGAACAAGATGTTTCATGAGTATTTGGTTTTTTTGTGTTTACATGTAATTCGAATATGGATTTTAAACTGTTTACAGATTAAATCTTCTGAATAATTTTCAAGCTTGTTACATAGGGATAACCAACTATCACATCAGCAGGGTGATACGCACTATCCATTGCTTTGAAAAAATGCCTTACTTCCCACGTAACTAATGACAAGAGATTGACAGAATAATTTGAAATATATCCATGAATTTGTCTGGATACCTATTTTCATTTAGGGTGTCATATACAATCTTTGGTTCATCTTCAGTTGCCTCTTTTGAGCATATAGCTCGGACCTTGTAGCTGAGGCTCCTTACTAAATTTCTTTTCTTACTGGAGAGGAACGAAGCTATGAAAATGTGTATATTGTCCTGTCCATGTGCTTTTCCTATGCAAATTTCTTTTTATACCCCCCCCCCCATCTGGCTTTCTTGTAAGGAGGACATTTAAAAAGACAATTCTATAGTTTATATAATAATTTATCCATTTCTTTTGCAATATTCATTTTCTTCGTGTGTTTTCTTTTTGTATACTCTAGTCTGTTTCAGATTATGTTATCTTTAAAATAAGTCGACGGAATCGTTCAGATACACCAGATATCTTAAGAACAACAACAGATTCTGAAGAAAAACTAGAGAATAGTCTGTTAACATTAGAATCACTCCAGTTGAGTTCAACTGATCATCCGAATAAACAGGACTCATCAAATATTAGTCAGCATAACTTTGCATGGTCTAACAGTTTAGAAGATCGTGACACGAATGCTTCAAGTACACATTCAACTACAGAATTGATACGTCCTTCAACTGAACAAAAATTAGCCTGTTATAATCCTACAACACCGAATTCAGCGGTTACAGTAAATGATGATAGTCATCTGAGTAAAATGAGCAGCTGCAAAGAGCCACGTAATCGATCTAATTCATTGGATTCAGTTATTGCATTCAATTCACGTACTCATCAAAATAACACGAATAGATTGCCGAAACAATTTATTGTAAGTCTTCAGTAGTATTTTTTTGTTTGTTTTAAAACTCTTTCTCAACTTATTTGCTATTGATTTATTTCTGTTTTGGTTTCAATGCTTTAACAATCTAAGGAGAAACACAGTTTTTTGTCCAATGAAGAAATATCTCTTATCAACGACTTCACTTTCAAGCTAACTGTACAGTCGTATTTATATTAAGCGAAAAAAGGCAATAATTAGCACTAGGAATTACTCAGTCAATATTGCACATATGATAAGAATAAAGATAATTAAAATGATATACTATGGGGGTAGAGTTGAAGTGGATGAATTACAAAACTTTTAAAGATTATTAAATAAGTGAACTGGTATAGAGATTTTTAATGGTAGGTCAGGTGTTGTCTGAAAAATTAGGAATTAGACGGCTAAGGTGAAGTGAAGTGGAATGAATTCAAGTGGTACTATAGAATAAAATAAAAGAGCATTATTATGACCAAGGTAAAGAAACAGGTTTGACAAAACGTTTTTGAATACATAATTTAGGTTTTTGTCCATGTATAGCTAGAGCTTCAGCTGTGCATAAGTAGAGAAAATTTAAACTTCTGGGGGTTATTGTATTTGGTTCTGTAGATGACTTTAAAGGATAAATCACGTGGGGTTACATGATCTAACTGCAGAAGGTGTTCACAGATTGAAAACTTTGTCGTCCTTTGCTCACCTTTCATTAACCAAACTGGGTAGTGTTCAGCTACGCGTTTACGGGGAGCGTGTGTTTACATAATGAAATTGCTTACCTCACATTCGTGTTGACTTTGTCACTTTACTGGGGAGGGAGGTGTTGTAAACAGGTTAAATTCTGTTTTAGTCCATCATTTTTATTCAGACAATTTGGATTTCACTACTTGATGCTTGGAATGTGATGCAATATACATCGGACAAACATCTCGAGAAATCAAAATCAGAAGAAATGAACACCGTAGAGCATCTGTTCTACTACCGAGAAGTCCAGTTGAACTATAAAAGCTTGAAAAATCATTAACCATAGTGTGGTCTACACGCTATAAAATCAGGCCACAAAATTGATTTTGATAATATTGAAATAATCCAGAAAAATTTGAGAAATTACAAAGAAAGTCTAATATCAGAAGCATTTCATATCAAGTAGAATCCGAATTGTCCGAATAGGAATGATGGTCTAAAACAGAATTTGACCTGGTTACAACACCCCCTCATTGGGGGGGGGGGGCGGTAAAGGTAGCGTGTACTACTGATAACACTTATCAGTGGTATATAAAGAGACGTTCACCGTCATAAAAACATCAAATAGCAGGGAGATAGATTTGATGTCAGAGAAAGTAAATGATACAGCCTTGTGGAGATACATGGGAGACGTGAAAGAAACACAATATGAAGGGCAGAATTAGCATAACACAGAAAATCTTTGCAAATGGTGATTTGAAGATAAGGTGTACATAATTCTGTTATATAGAGATATGGAATTGCAAATAAAACATCCCTTTATCAAGTCTTTCGTCATCTACCGTTTCAGTGAGTTAAATTCAGTGGTGTGAGAGAAATGTAGTTACCACAAAATATATACAAACAAATATCTACAAGTGTAATGTCAAGGGCTGATAGATAACAAGTGTTATGATAAAATAAACAGGTTAAATTGTGAATTGTAATAAAATGCTAGAGAAATAATAACCTTAGTGTAAATTACAAAGATTGACACATAATAAGGATAATAACGGAATGAAGTAAACTGGTTGAAAAGGAATAAGAAAGGCATAATATGACATGGATATATGAGATGATTATGTTCCAGACGACCTTGTAGTAGGCCAGGGTAAACAAAGTGGATGGATGTTCTGTTTTTGAACACATACGGCGGGTTTCTTCTTATTAATCTCTATAGCTTCAGATATAGCTAGGAGACGTAATCATGTGCCTTTGGGCGGATTGTTTGGTACTCGAGGAGAGGGTGGAAGTGGAAACAAGTATTAAGTAGAAGTAAAGTTATTACGTAAACAAACAATTAAGTCAATTGGATGATTAATAAGTGTTTAGCTTAGTGAGTTGTAATAAAAGAGAGAAAACTGTGACTCAACAAACACACCGAAACACAACAGAGACGTCTTTGTTACCAAGGTAGTGAGAGGTTAATCACACTGTCTTTCTGTATATACAGAGATTAGGTTGAAATCATTTGATAACATTGGTTTCCGTGAAACGAAGTAGCCAGTTTTTTCTCTGTAGATTGATTATTTTGAAGATTCAGCTGATTTCGACTGTATGCACCCATTTTAATCAGGTGCTTGGCAATTACACTTGCAAACACTTTCTTATATTTTATTTGAAGGTTGTTATCAGAGTGCTCAGAGAACCTAGTAGATTCTTTCCTCTCAGTCGTTTCTCTGTGTTATTACCACTGCAAGTGTACATGAATTGATAAATGAAGTTGGAGTTGACACTCGGGGCATGCTATTAAATGAGTTGAACTTATTATTAGTCTCCCAATTTACTTAATTGTTTGTTTAAGTAGTAATTTTAAGTCTATTTACCATCTGTGTTCACTCCCACCATCTCTTTGTCGAATGTTTCATCATCTTATGTACAACTAAACTCTAGTTGTTAAATTATTAACTATTTTGTATTCAAATCTTCGCCCTTTGAATTGTGTTATGTATTTTTGCATTTATAATAACTTATTTCATTTTTAGGCTGTTAGCAGCTGTTGGAAGGCTGTGGTGAAATAAAATAAATGAACTCTTTTCATCCTACGACTATGTTTGTTCTCCCTCTCTCTCTCTTCATACTAACAGAGGGAACTGATTGTATGAAAATCTAGAGAAGATTTTGCTATAGTTATATGGACTCAGTAATACATGATCCCCATAAGGTGGTTATAGCACAGTTCTGAAGACTGATAAATTTAGACGATGCGGAAGGTGGTCGGTCACTGGATTTCTGCTTGTGTTAAGTCCATCATAAACACACTTACTTGTAATACCGGAGTATAGATTCTGTATCTATACCGAAGTCAAATGAATTGATAGAATGAGAGGATTATTTGAGTACCCTAATGTTATTAAGAACAATGAAGAATGATGTTTGAAGATTATCCTTTTAAATAGTGTTGTATTATTATTCACTGTGTCGTATAACAAACAAATGAATTCATACAGTATGTGATTCCATAGTTCAATCATTATATAAATGTAATTTAGATGAGCAAAGTATCACTGTGTTTTATTTCTTCATACATCTCCTCATCGATTTTTGTTTATATTGGAGAATATTTCAGTATCGAAAATTTGAGTCATGATAATGGTGAACTGTACTACAATTTTAATATTGCGAAAATACTCATTCAGACATCTATAAAAAACAAAATAATTAAGCAAAGAATATCCTTTTCGATAATTTCCTCTTCTGGCTCTACAATTAAATGCATATGTACATATACATAGAATATTCTAGAATAGTAGTTAATAACCATATTAGTGTTTTTTAAAGTAATATCGATTTGTAAAGTAAGATCAATGGAATTACAGATCCTTAAAGACGCTCAAATTACAATAATAATAAAGATATGATAGCAAATAGAATATCAACTAAAATTAAGAAAATTTCTACAAAAAGTTGAGGATCATTCGAACCTAGATGGCCAAAATAAGAACAATGTATGAACTAGCTTCTTTTGGACGCAGAAATCAGGCTTCTTAATGTGGATCCCAACGGCCTCAGCAATATTTGGTAAACAAACTCTTGAGGTGAAGTTAAGATTTGTTGGTATGCGGTAAATGACTTTGAAAGCCTCCTCGTTAACACCAATCTTGTGTTCTGTATCCACAAGATGAGATAGAATAGCGCTGCGAATAGATTTTGTTTGTCCTTTACTTAACCAACCAGGTAGGATGATTTTCAGAAATTCGACGAGAAACAAGCCTAATTGTACGGCCTATGTAACTGGCTCTACAGGAGCACCTTTGGTGTGCTTCCCTTCATATTCGGTGGTGAAACAGTGAAATATGATTTTATTGTCAGAGTTAAAAAAAGGAAGGGCTTAGTCACCATTAGGCTTGGATAAAATACCTCTATTGTCTACCTTAATACATTTGATTGTCAAACCTTTTCTACTTTTCATAGTGATTTCCAGTTGTTAGTTCGTAGGGATTTGATTCGTGTCAAGTTTGATCACAGATTGATATCAGTTAGAGGGACTATTGAAATCCAGGAAGTACTGGACTGGAAGTGGATTACGTCCCTGTGACTGAATGGTCAACGAGCTTGCCTCGTAACCTCACTGTCTTGGACTTGATTCCTGCTGTCGTCATGGGTACGTACTATTGAAGAGTCCCGAACTAGGAGGAGGCAGCTGTCCAGTACTCTATGGTAGGTAATGACTTTCATTAGATTTAATGTGCACAGAACACACTGACACACACTCCCAACCAGTGGCAAGTGGTTTATTGTGGATCAGCTTAATCTTGGTGTCAAAGTATAATATTGCTCTTCTTTTAACCATATACTGATGAAATCTTTCTTGGAATAAAGCCGTGACGGTTGATTCCAACAGCTGTAATTTCTCTAAATATTTATTACTGCTAGTTCAAAATGTTGTTCATCTTTATGGTATACAGGTATAGCGTACAGGTGTTTTGAAGCGTCACTTGCGTATTCAGCAGATAAGCATGATTCATCAAAGCGCTAAAATGAATTTGTAGATATTATAGTGATAAAAAATGAAGACCTTTTTGTTTGCATACATAGTTTTACAATGGTTATGTCAACTCACTTCTCATGTGCAAGTGACTGGCTGCATACCATCTGGGAATGTTCTGCTCGTCGACATAGATTGTGAGGCGGAGTGAAGTGAAGAGAAGAATATCAGCATAACGTCTAGTGTGAGAGCGATTACAGTGGTAGCAAAATCTTATTTAAAAAATGCTATTGAGATAGAGTATAGCAGAATATAGGCAGTGTGGAAGGATAAAAAGTTGGCGTAATGGAGATATCACCTCTCATTTGTTGTATGCCTACTCTCGTTTTGTCTTATTTTGATTGTGATATACGAACAATCTTGTAAAAAGCCCTATAACCACAGGTCCTGAGCCATTTTCAACCTTAACTAATAAAAATAAAGGCGTTAGTATTTAAATGCATCTCACTTTTATGACATTTTATGTCTTCCAACATATGCTTAATTGACATTACTTAATTCTTCTATTTGTGAAATTTAGTCAACCTCTGCTGAACCACCATCCTGTCAAGAAAGGACTATTGTTGTAAATAAGGGTCCTGAAGAACCTTTAGGCATATCAATTGCTGGAGGACGTCAATCACAGCGTGGAGATACACCTATATATGTAACAAATATAAGTTCTGAATGTGTTCTAGGTCGTTCAAAGTTGGTAAGTGTCTGAATTATTCCTACTGATTTTTTCTCCTATTGCCACTTGAACTGTTCCAGATGTTAAGTAATAGTTAATATTATGCTCTATCCAGCTCGGTAGATTTGTGCCCATTCAATTATTTCGAGGTTCACTTAGACCGAATTTGTTGGACGTTCTATACATAGACTAACAAAAATAAATTATATTGCGAACTGCGCTTCAATAGAGACCAGTGTGTGGTATAGGCTTATTTGTACAGTCTAACAACTGTGTGTGCCATTTGTTTGAGATCAGAATTTCCAAGCTTCCTTACGTAGACTGTATATATCCATCAATCTGTTGCTAAGCACCGAACATTCTCCGGTGCCCTTTCAATTTCTGCAGAGAACTTCCACCACGTGGGTGCACTAATAGAACTTACATAGCGGATACTATTAATGCACAACCATACCCATATGAGCATATTTCTCGGGAGCTTCGCCAGGTTTTATCCACTCTCCACCATTTCACATCCTTTTTTATTTCAGAACCTGAGATTAGTAGAGAGTGGAAATGTACAAAAAAATTCTCTGAAAGTCATCATTCTGCATATTAGTGTAGAAAAGTTTCTACTACACACCAGATCACCCTAATTTCAATTCTTCAAAGTTTTTATTATTCGCCTTAATTATTGACCAAAACGTTTTACTGATTACTGTTGTTATATTGGTATTGATAGAATGAGTAATATTGCTGCCACTCTCTATCTATGGTCTATAAATGTTTATTATTCGACAGAATTGACAACCTGCGTGATAACTTTTCAATTTAAAATTAATTCTTCCTCTGATTACCAAATTTTAGCTATTAAATAAGATTTATCATTCTTAACAGTAAAAGTTTGTCAAAACATTCTTATTATGTAAAATTTGCTCTGAATATGTGTATAAACGCCGTGTCTGTGTGTGCGTGTGAATTATGTTTTGTACTATCCAGAGATGCGTGTGCTGTGCAGCAGTTCACTTTGTCCTTCTTTATACGTGTCAGACATGGCTATTGAAATTGGAAGATATGAAGAGGTTAAGTGTCTTTGACCGTAGACGCTTGCGTTCTGTCTCCCATGTCAAGTGGTACAATATGGTGAGCAATATTGAGGTTAACTGTAGAGTGTTAAGTATGGAGGGAAAGTGGATTGATGAAGTTGTGAAGCTATATCGCTTGAGAACACTCATCCTTAACCTCCGCTTTCCCTGAGAGGCAATACTGACTGTCCTAAGATTAGGTTGGAATAGAGTTAAGCCATAATTAAACGAACCACCACTGTCCAATAAGGCTGTTCATGAATAATTATAACTTCACGACTAACAAAGAAGCTTGCCCATCGTAATTGTCTGAGATACCACTTGAGAAATATGCCAGTAACAATAGGGAATATATATTTTATTATCGAATTAACTCTTTTAAATCTGCTTTTATTATTTTTGATTGGACACTAGTCAGTAACTAGTTTAATGTGTCTGAGTTCTATCAGTCATGTTTGCTTTTTTTCGATAGCTTCTCTACTGTCGTATGAAGTAAAGTATCTTTTTGCTATTCATTTTTACTGTTGTTCAGATTCAGCGAGGTGATATTCTATTAGAAGTCAATGGTGTTGGTCTAGTTGGTCTTACGCATCATGAAGCTGTTGAAGTTCTCCGACAAATAAGTCTAATGCAAACACGAATACAGTTGCGTGTCATTACAGCTCCGGAAACAAGTGATGGTCCAGAAAACTTTATGCCTTCTTGGACATATTGGCTTCGATTACCACCAATTTGTCAACTGGCTCGAGTAATTCTTCTTCGTCGAGAAAGTAGTAGTACGCCGAGTTTTAGCGGTTGTTCTTTTTCACAACCACTCGGTTTCAGTATTGTTGGTGGTTTAGGTCATGATCAAGGGATATCAGGCCAATCTAATTCGAACACTTCTGATGGGAAAATTATTAAATCATCTCCAAAAGTCACCGCCAAAGTTGGTTACTCTAACCTTTATCCTTGTCCAATTGTGATAAAATCTATAGTTCCTGGACTCCTTGCCCATAAAGACGGTCGACTAAAGTGAGTGCTTATTGTTTATAAATAATTACTGGTTGTCAACTTTTGTTTTGTCTCTCTGTGTCCGCTTGAAGATGTTAACAGTTTCATTAGCGATTAATCCAACCACTTGTTTTGAGAAACAAATTTTTATGGCCACCTATATTCCTCTATGAGTGTACATCATTAAAAACACACTTGAACTTCCTGGTTTTAATTCGCATCCAATAATTGGCTTAGCTGTAAATTATGCAGTGAAATGCTCGAAATCTACTCGGCACTCTTGAATTTTCACTGACAGTCAAAAGTCTCAATAGTTACATAATAATAATCCATTTTCACAAACGTCTGTCACCTGTCTAACTTTCTCATTTGGCTAAACCTATGGAATCACTTTGTTCAAAAGCTTAAATTTGGTATTCATTTAGACCAAGTTTGTCCCTTAGAAACATCTCTCAATATTTCATGTGAAGCGGCGTACAATAAATTGCGTTTCCTGGTTAATTTAAAAATTAATTCCCAAATTCCCATATACGCATTTAGGAAAAACAAATTTTTATTTAGTTCCTCAGCGTCTTTTTAGTCTATCAGTTTTAGGTATAGGGGGGTGGGTGGGGATTAAAAGTCATCAAAACAATTAACTAATAGATGTTAGTAACAAGATACATAAATTTTGAAGGGGGAGGAGGGAAAGTTAATCACGGAACTGAAAATCAGTTAATCCGTAGGGGTTAGCAACAAGTTATTGCATAATCAAGAAATTTGTAAAATAATGATGTTGGCTAAGAGGAATAGGATGACTTAGTAGAATTTCGTAAAATACAAACAAGTCAATAGAATTAGCTAGAATTGTTAATATAATAAAATGATAACGTCAAAAGATAGTTACAAGGGAAGGGAAAAATTGTTTATAAAAACTCCATACAAATAGTGTAATTGACTATGGCAAAGAAAAGGTGCTGTACAAATTTCTTTTGAACTCACACACACACAGATTTGGCTTGTTTAGATGAATTCCAATTGCCTCTTCTGTATATAAAAGTCTGACTGGTAGACAATGTGAGAGGTTGGGTTGATATACGATAAATAACTTTGAAAGTTTTGCTAGAGTCGATTTGATTTAGAGTATCGACGAGATGAGCTAGTGTTGAGCTGCGTATAGCTTTATTCGAACCTTTGCCAAACAAGTATAAGAAGCACTTCTGATCGGAGAATAATCTTTGACAGTTTGCTGATAAATAGAATCACTTGTAACTGTAGCCAAAAGAAGATTTAAATGCTGAACACTATTCACGTTTTTAAGGTGTGTTTCTTACATCTTTCGAGGAGGAAAATAGATACGATGTCTTTTTTGTATAAGAAAATCACACCAGTTCTATTAACCACAGAAAGTAGATGGCTATTCACGTACGGTATCCATGACTACAACTCATGATTTCATCGATTGGTCACTAAGTTTAACAAAGATGTACTTCTGCATCACACTGTGCCTCATTCCTGGGTGACACAGTCTAAAACCTTCATTGTAAGTGCCAAAATTTAAACTGTTCAATCTCCTCTGGTACTTTGATTTGCATCATGTGTAACGTGAAATTTATAAAATTTTGGCCGTCCCCATACCTTTATTACTATAAGTGTAGAATTGAAGCACTGTAATATAGTATACTTTCATATTAGGTAAGTTTATTTTATATAACACAGTGATACACTATGATTAAGAAGGACTTCGTGTGCTTTTGGAAGTGTGTGGGTGGTTGTTACTTCCCCGCCTTCCCAAACCGTGGAAGTTGACTTTTTCTTGGGCTACCTAAAAGCAGAGCTCAGGGGACAACTGCTTGAGACCGGTCACACACGACCTATTTGAGCTGGCTTTTACGTTTGGGGTCCCGTATTAGTAACTTACCGCTGGCTACGGATTACCGTAGGGTAAGTTGGGATGTACAATTTTTGTGGTCGACCTTCTCTAACCCACTCTCTGCAGAGTGGAGAGACAGCATAGTTGGCTAGCATGCTGATCATGTAAGGGAAACACCTTACTGCTGTTACGTCTCTATTCCGCAGCAGTACTACTTTGCCCACAGACCCTCAGCATAGTGTGGTAAAAAATCTTACGCTATGCTAGTAACTGCTTTTAATGTAATCTCTATCCTAACAATCTTCCTGGTATGGTAGGAACATTAGTTCCAACCAGTGTAGCTTGTTGAGTCATTGCGCGATATGCAAGCCCGACCACCACTTCAAGGTAACAGCTATCGGTCGGGAGTGAAACACTTTGAATAACTGGATGACGTTTCAAGCACCATCTATTGCTCATAATCGTATCAATGTATTCATATGGCTTTATAAGTTGCTTTATACGTATGTAGAAAACCGACACATTAAAATAATTACATAGACTTTGATTCATCCCACCCGAAATCAATAAATGTGTAGGTTTATATAATTTAGCCAGGAACATAACTAATAAATCAAAATTTAAGTAATGAGATTAAACAAATAGAAGAAAAAGTGATAGAGTATAACTACCCACCAGTTTTTATTTAAAAACTGTATGAAAACCCATAAAGAAAATAAGAGTAGTAATGTGAATGACGGTGCGGCGGTGGCACTGCGGTTGAATGCTCGCCGACCACGTATGTGGTTGGGGTTTCGATCCCTGGTCGACACACTCCTAAACCTAGGTAAACCTCATCCCGTAAAAATAAACACCACTGCTTCCAAAACTTCAAAGCTTCAGTTTGAAGCCGTATTTTCCACTGGAAACGTAAAGTAATAAAAAAGTGAATAATAGAGAACTCAGAACCTAGATATAATACTGCCAATACAAAGAAAGAACATTAGAAGACCTACGTAATGTTTTTCATGAGTCTGGAATCGTCGATGGCATTTAAATCGACCAACCACCTGACTCATAGATAAACCTCTTTGGCTTAAGGAGCCGAGAGATCCAGTTAAGAAAATTAATATAATTTATCAAATACCATGCATGCAATGACTGTAAGGTTAGTTTCGTAGGTCAAACTAGTAGATCGAGGTTGTGTAGATTATGGAGAGGGGGTATAGTGATCTAGCTAAAGCTAGAATGATTAATCCTGCTTAGTTAAATAGGGAGGAAGAAAACGGACATTGCAGTGCATTCACTTGCATGCAATCACAAAATAGGATGGGACGAAGTGAAAGTAATGAAAAGTAATATAAGTTAGGTGAAAGGAGAGGGAGATTTATCACTGAATTTTTGCTTATGGATTCAACACCGCATAAGTGCAGTCGAAATGACGCAACGTGTATACCAGATATACGGAAAATTACAACGAATAACAAGGCTGGAGAGAGAGAAAATATATAAAGCAAATTATGAAGCCACCTGAACACACTGATATGATTATGAGCAATAAATTGTGCTCAGATTTTCGTCATCCAAATATCAATACTGTATCACTGTCTATTAAATGAAATAAACTTATCTGATATGGAATAACTTTTATTGCGTCATAGAATTTTGGTTTTACTTGGGGAGTTTCACTATCTTATTACTTTCGATTTAAAATCGACTATCACTTCTCTTTTTTGACCATGAAACATATATTACAATAGGTAATGTGTATACGACAGCTTTTATTCCATGGTCAAACTTCATGGAATAAGAATAAAAATTGGGCACTGCGGCTGAGTATAATTCCATTATTTATAGAATTTTATTTTGATAAATTCACACAGTGTTGTTATACAGTAATATATTTACTGATGACCACCTTTCGAGCACAAATTATTGCTGCTCATAATCATATCAAGGTACTCTTCACATAACTTTCCTGCTTCGTTTATATACATGAGGAAATATTCATTAGACATTTGAATATAATCAATATAAGACTTGCGGCAAACAGAAAAGGAGATAGAATACATTTGGAACCACTATTAGTTTTATCAATAAATATGATATGATGAGAATTAAGACGAGTGTTGTTAATCAATCTGTAACAACAAAAGAAAAGGGCCAGGCAACAGATTGTTATTAAGGAAACCAACACATATTTATAAATTTTCATGTACATTATTATAGATTATTGTTAGCAGAAAAACATAATCTTCTGATTGGTTGTTTCTCACTGAAAGTTAATCTTTCATCTCTTTGTGGCTGTTTCTTCAATGTCAAATTATCTATCTGCTGCTAATTGTATCCGCCTAAGCAAAGTCTGCTGTGATTGGTTGTTGAATCAGTCTTTGTTCTTATTTTTCTCACGACCAATATTGGGGACGTAAACATTGACGTAAATTACTGTCTACCAATTTGGCTAGCAGCCAGCTCTCAATACAAATCTACTATGGAAGATAAACCTACGTTCGGAAACAATATTAGTGTTGTCAGTAAAATACAATAGGATGGGAAATAAGACGAGTGTTGTTGGTCAATAGTGAAACAAATAACTTGTTATCATGTTAAAATATGTTGTCGGCCCTCTGACATTAACATGTATCACTTCTTTGTGTATAGTGATGTTTAATATAAAATTAAGAATATTTCATTTCCAATTTATATTATTACTATTATTGTTATGTTTTTAGGTGTGGTGATCTTATCTTAGCTGTGAATAACATATCAATGCTGAATATTCCTCATTCATCTGCAGTTCGTTTGTTAAAAAAGGCAACTGGTGATGTTGTTCTACAAGTGATTTCTTGGCCTGGTACAATTGTTTGATATATATTATTATATTATATACACGTATGACTAGAAGAGAATTTCAGTATAAACAATAATAACTTTCAGTGATAATAAATTGTAAATTTTAAATCATGAAAATTCTATTCACAGTGTTCAATAATCTAGTAGATTATATATAATCTATTACTATGACTACTAATAAACAATGAATTAAGGCACACATAAGGCCTTTCTCATACTTACTGCATTTTTTTATCTTACTCAGTATTATATACACGTGTTGATTACCAACATGTTCAACCCTTTCTCTTTTCCTCCCCCCACCCTAATTTTCTTGAAATTGTATGTCAAGGTGTTTGCCAGTCTGCATGTGGTTTTCTTATTTGCAGAGATAATGTGTGCAGTGAACACTGCCTAACTAACACCGGTGATATTTATATATACTTGCTTATTCATTTGTCCATAGTCACTCCTCCTAGTCGCATTTTTTTCCGTCACGAAACTTTATCCAATTTTCCTCGGAACTGGTCGTGAGTGCGCATCTGACCATCCAAAATGCCTGTTTCACTTCTTTTCTTCTTCTGCTTCCTTTGATATTCTCTTCTATGATTTTTGATTTCTTCAAGAAATTTTGTCTTCCATAAGCCATAGTCTGTGCATATCTTCTTTGCTTATATTTCTCTCTGTGTGTATGTGTGCATGCATGAGGGTGTTTATCATCACTTTAGTGCTGCATTATTTTATTTTCTTTTTATCGGTTTTTTATTATTCTAATTTAAGATTTATCTATATTTGACTTAAGAAGAGGCCTATGTCTCTACATAACTGAAAATTCTTTGTATTTATTAACACAAACACACAACAGTTGAAAGGAAACATCAATGGCATGCTTCAGATGACCACACTAATAATAATAATAATAATAAATATATCCTCATTTTTCAGCCTGTCATAATGATCCCATAGTGGAGAGAAGAAAAACAGCATAATGAGTAAGGAGAGACATTTAGTCGCGTTTTTTGTTGTTGTATACTTTGCCTGCACGTTAGCTTGCTTTATTATTATTATTTCACTACTAAAAATAATATTGACTTATTATTCTTATTGTTCTTATCATTATTATTATTATTATTACTATTACTACAGCTACTATTACCACTACTACTAATATCGATACAAGTAATCGGAATTTTCAAAGTAATTAGTAATTTATACTACTTACTTATATACATCGAATTCAAAATAAATCGCATATTTCATTAAAAGTTGTCTTTATTATTTTTGTTTCAGAAGAAAATGTAGTTTGACTATGTTGGTGTTTTGTTCTTTGAGCGTAGAGGTTAAATTGCGAAGCTTGCATTGCCCCTCATAGATGATAACCTTAGAGACAAGGGAGCTATATGAAATGTGTCTCCCGTTGATGATTTTGACTGTGATTAGTTGTCCTCTGGTCACAAACCCGGGTAAAGAGAGAAGGTTGGGCGTGGGACCAGCGGCTGTACACCACAAAACCTATCAAACTGTAGTGAGAGCTGTCTGTTAGCCAAAATTGGTAGACAGCAATTTACGTCAATGTTTACGTCCCGAATCTTGGTTATGAGAAAAAAACAAGAACAGAGTCTAACCCAACAACCAATCACAGAAGACTTGGCGTGGGCGGATACGATTATCAGATATATCAACAAACTGAGAAACAGCAACAAAGGGATGGCAGAATAACCTTCAGCAGGAAAACAACCAATCAGAAGATGTTGCTTCTCTGCTAACAATAACGACTAATAATGTACGTAAAAATCCATAAATGTCTGTTGATTTTCTCGATAAACGATCTGTTGCCTGGCCCTTCTCTTCTGTCGTTACAAAACTACTACAGAAGCTTCAACGTACATGAAAAATATTAAAAAAAACAAACTTAATCTTCGCTAGAATCAGAGAGGCGAAATGACACAGTGGGCTGGTGGAAGCCTTCGGGAAACCAGTCAGCCAACGTACCTTCCCTCGATGAAACTAAGAATAAGAATGGGGACGTGGAATGTCCATACAATGTACGATGCCGGTTGGGAAGGCTGCCGAGATAGCCAAAGAATTGCGAAGATATGGCATAGAGAAGTACTGGGAATCTTCTTTGGGGGCCACCTGAAGGGGCGAACATGTCAACAGAGGTCGAGCATTTCCCCCCAGTCAATCAATGGGACGATAAAAATTGAATTAAAAACGGAATATCGTTCCCACTGCATCATTTCCGTTTGTTTCTCTTTTATTTTGTTTTTATATATTTGCGTAATGCATTCTTTATCTGCTTAGAAAATCTCTTATCTTCCTTGCATCTGTATATGTATTTTATTTGCAATCTCTGCGGGTATATATTTTGAATATATGTAGCCGTCGCTTTGTTAGGTATAAGTAAATATTTTATTTTACTATTAAGTTTTGGACTTTGATATCTCTTCCAACACGTGCATCGCTAAATTATCACAAATTTTCTAAACATTTTAACTATCTCAATCTCATTTTATGTTTGTCTGTTTAATATTTGCATTATGACCACCGTTAAGAAGACTCTAGAAGATCTGGATTTCGTAGATGATATGTGTCTAATGTCACACAAATTCGAAGAATTAGAGGCAACAAACTGGCTAAAGAAGAAACAAAGACAGGACTGCAAGTGAACATAGAGAAGTCGAAGGTGGTGAGGAGAACCAACGAACCGAAACAACAACCAGCACCAATCACCATCAACGGGAGAGATTTAACAGAGGTTACTGCCTTCCTTCCGTTATCTAGGAAGCATCGTTTCAACTAAAGGCAGTCGGAATGGATGAAGATGTCAAAGCCAGCCAGGCAGAATCGTAAAGACAAGATACGTCTCCATCAATGTGAAACCAATTTGGAAATCTTTTGCTGTCACTCAACCAACATAAAGAACAAGATTCGGATTTTCAGTACGAATGTGAAATCTGTCAATCCTTCTATACGGGACAGAAACTTGGCTAGCGTGTTACGAAGAGGATTTCCAACAAGTTAGTTTTTGTCTACAGCTGCCTTCTCTGGCTCCATAATGAATATCAAATGACCGGCCAGAGAGGATCAGCCACAAGAAACATTGGCAACAAATCAACCAAAAACCTATCGTTTAACAAATATTCCAGAGAAAATGGAGATGGATCGGGCATACACCACTGAGGAGGCTGTTGAATGACATCACGCGCAATGCAGGTCATCACTCGAGTGGAATTCGTATGGGAAGCGACGAGTGAGTCGTCAGTGCGACGGTGACATTGGGGAGATCGTGTGGCGAGGAATACATGAGAGATTATGGGCAATCGTGGACTCAGCTGAAGTGGACAACAGAAGACAGGACAAGGTGGAGATGTGTTGTTGAAGCCCAATATCCCACATGGAACCCAAGGGATTAATAGTAAATGTTCAATATGTTATTTAAAAATCCGTGAATAGTCCGTTATTTTTTGAATAGTGTGCAAATATTCCAGCACATATGGTAGACTGAATAGAAAGTTTTCATATTGAATTCTGATTCAAATCGGTAAAAAAATGTAAAAGAAAACTAATGGTGTGGTTAGGGGTTGCCCGACTAGGTCCAATCTCAGCTGATCTTTTTCCTTGCTAAGTTAGAGAATAGACCGCTGAAAAGAGTAATTAAGGAATTGGATTTCTATTGTGGGTATATAGATGATACATTTCTGCTTATGATAGACGATAATGAACATCCTCGACAAGTTCAATGATGCTCATTCAGCAATAAAATTCACCATAGACAAAAAAGTAATGACAGTATCTTATCCTTCTTGGCCAGGAAAGAAGATGGCTCACAAAGAAGGAGTGTGTATAAGAAACCTATAACAACAGGTCAATGCAGTCATCTTTTGAGTTTCGCACCTTTAAAATATATAAAGCGTCTGGTTCATACAGCTAGGACAGTCTGTTCAAACGACGCCCTCAATTACGAGCTTAAGATTATTAGAGAATTACTTAGGAAAAATGGTCATCCAGATGAGTTCATTGAAAATAATATGAATTTTACACCAAGTAAAGTCAGTACAGCAAGAGCGCAAAAAACCATTGTTCATAAAACTGTAGTTTCTCGAATACAACATCAGCGAAATAGTAACACACCGCCTGAACAATGCATTTAAAAGAGCCTTCAATGCAGCAGAGGTTATATATATCCTCATCACCACCCCTATTTCACGTTCGAGAAATAAGGACAAACTACCTAAATTTGTAAGTTTCCAGACCGTAGGTGTTACGAACTTCCTGGAATAATTTGAGCACCGAGTCAGATCGATTCATTATAAATTATTTAAATTAATCCCAGCGTGTTTAAGAAAATCAAACCAATTTATATATATTTTGATGATTAATACAAATCCGAATAAATCTGCTGAAGAAGCTGTGGCTTACACAGCGAAGCGTTCAGAAAAATCTTGTTTTGATTTTTTTAAGCACGCTAGGATTAATTAAAATAATTTATAATGTACCTAAATTTGCCTCCTCTATGTGTATCTACCAGTTTGACTGCAGCAGTGGAGCCATGTACATTGGTCGTACAATTAGGCAGGTTCATCATCGTATTTCCGAGCATCATCCGGCATGGTTATGCAAGGGACAAACTAGATCTATTCATAGCCCTATTGTAGACAGTGAACATAAAGTTGATGATAATACAACATTTAAAATTATTTATCGCATTCCCACTAATCTTAATTTTGATTTACGAGTTCGTCTTCTATATACAGCTGAAGCCATAGGAATCCACTTGAAGAAGCCAAACCTGTGTGTTCAGAAATTCGTACAGCCACTTTTCCTTGGCCATCGTTACACGAATGAATGCATGAATCGTACTACTTTGCCCTTCCCAAAAACCTTTAAAAATTGATTGTTCAGATTATTTTTCTAACTCCTTCATCTTTAATTACAATGTTATCATTGTTGCAATCATTTCTACCTTTTAATTTTTTTTAATTATCTATCTTGGTTATTATCAAGCCCCGTGACATGTTAATATTGATTAATTA